GAATTAATAAAAAGAAAAGTCTAAAAACTCCATAAGAAAATTCTTATAAGTAACAAAAAGATATTTTGTTACAAAATATATTGAAAAGATTTTGCAGTTTCACTTGTGTCTATTGTGATAAGTCTTATCATGAATTTTTCATTACTACAGACACAAGAATAAATAAATATACTCAGATATTTATGTAGCTAAAAGGAAATAAAATTGATTTTAAATTTTTATAGGGTTTTATTTCAAAGAATAAAAAAAGTTTAGATCTATTGATTTTCTACTGATATTTGAATAAGTAGGTACACAGTGCTTCTTTTTGATTTCGAAATTCGAATCTGTATCAACCCTTTTCATGTACTCCTTTTACTTAAATTCTAATCTGACGTCATGAACAGAAAGTACCATCTACATGTGTGAATATCAACAACTTATCATGTTGTTATTTCACAAAGACTTTGAATACATTTATGTACAATTGAGACAAAATTGTTTTTAAAAGACTTATTGGATATGTTTGGGAGATGAAACTACGCAAAGAGGTTCAAGATCATAAATTTAACGTTAAATTGAAATTCAAATTTTTATAAATTAAAATTCTGTTACTTTTATGCGCACATTTTAGCGGTTTCACATTTTTTCTCATTAACACACAAATTTGTCATTAAATCCTCTAGCTTTTGTCCTTGCTCTTGTAGTTCTTTTGTCCGTGGTGCAATAGTGAAGTATTTCCAAATTTGAAACTCTATCACTGTCAAATTAATAGCTCGTGCGTGAAATTTGATTTCTTCGTAATTTGTTTCTCTGAGCTTTTCAGCAACGCAATTGAAACATTTTGACAATTTTTCACATTTGTTCACAGACTTTTTGATTGAATTTTTATCTAAACTGGCTTGGAAGTTGGCACAAACCACTTTATATTCATCGTCCAATTCTCTGTCTTCATTGCAAAATGAAAAGTTGTCACATCTATCAGTTGATGCGTTGTATATCGGATCAAAACAATGCATTCTCGTCTTTAAATCTATAAAAAAGGTTTCGTTTTGTTCCTTCACAATAGATTTGCAATCATCTAGAGAATATTCATACGAATGAGCTGCTTTAAAATATTCATCAGTCACATTTTGCTTTTCAAGATAATTAACTAGACATGTGAAGGTCTTTTTGTGGCTCTCAAAACCGTCAGAGATTAAAAATATTTCCGAGCAAAGGGCTAGTATAAATATTCCAGTCAGGGATCCACCAGTAATGTACGCAAGTTGTCTATAGTCTTTAGAAAGTCTAATAAAAGGGATGAGAAAGGAAATTTAATTTAATTAATACTTGCAAAAAAGAAAAATATTTTAAAACTTACTCCATTGTCGATGTAGTCTTGTCAACACCAAATTACTGTCTGCGAGAATGTTCTATTCCATAGGAGAAAAATGAGTAGCCTATCAGTTAACGACTGATAAGGAAACAAAAAATCTAACTCAATGAGAACCCTTATCATACTTATTTTCATTAAAAATATTTTTATTGAAAGAAATGCTTGAAAATTTTACAAATAAACTGATAACAAGTTAACATATTCTAGTCTTTTGAGTTATTTCAAACATTGAGTCGATAAATTTCTGTCTTTCAAAATACTTGTCTTGAGATGTTAATGGAAGTTTTGAAAGAAGTTCAAGTTTCAAGAGATAATCGTAATAGCTGTTGTCTTTTAATATATTTAACGAACACTCATTCTCTTCTTTCTTCAAGTTGTCATAAGCTGGATCTAAAATACTTTTCATGATTTCTTCGCAATTATAATTTTCCATTGTCACGTTTTTCGGATTGATGTTGAGACTGTATGAGAAAGCATCAATCATATATTTGTCTATGAGATAACGTCTAATGCAATATTCATTTTCGCCTTTTGCATAAAGACTTGGCTTCTTTTCAATAGCTGTATCGAAGAACTTTCCAAAATGTTCTGCAGCAGCGCATTTTTCAAGAATTCTCACACCCAGTTGGTCAATCTCTTCCTTGAGCTCTTCATATCTTAATTCTTTTGCTGAACTTCTCCAGAATTTCCATCCAACATCAAGCATTCCTACAGCTTGGAATCTCAAAGCAACATTTTCATACTCTTCACTTGCCGCTTCACGTCGAAAACATTCAATATGTGCGCGGGCGTTTTCATCTTCATTCATACTTGTGAATATCTTGTCATTGAAATCATCAAGCTTTATTCGAATGAAACTTTCGCATTCCGCTTCCGTACCAGGAAATGAATCAACTGAATCGAGAATATCTTCTTGAATTCCATGAGACTTCAGATGACTGGTTATACATTGTAGTGAAAGATTTGCGTACGTATCTTTTATTATAAAAATCAATGAGAATATTATCAACCTGTTTTTTATCCTGAAAAACGATAAATTTAAACATTTTTCCACGTATTATAATGAATTTAATTCAAAAACCTCATATTTGTTCCCCGAGATGTTCACAATCAATATTCAAAATCAAGACTGCGTCAAAAACATTTCTCGTAGATTCGAAAACAATTAGATTAGTTTAGTGAACCCTCAACTAATAATGTCTTCTATATAGATGTAAGTAATAGTCAATAATGTTATCTTGTAATTTGTGTTTTATTGGAGAAAGTTTCATCATTTATGAAAGAAGTTGACCCATTGATTATTTTTGTAATTTTTCAGATAACTTGAATTTGTTTGACCTTTGATCCCCAAATAATTTATTGAATCATAAATTGATGACGAACACACTACATTTTCATTCTCCATAAATGTTTATATTTTAAAATGACTTTTTGAGAAGTCTTGTTAGCTTCAATGACTCTTATCTCTTGACGAATATAAATTTCTACATTTGCTCGTTTCATTATCGAAAGGCAAAGCAAAAATATTAAACTCATCCTGAGACTTACTCTCAGTTTTGTCGTGAATCTCAACAAAGAAACAGCACACAGAATAATTCAGCAATGACTAAGTAAATTCTTTCCTAATATTTTCTCAAAATATCTTAAAGAAACAACATTTTTATCATTAGGAAATTTATTGCATTAGTTTGCATGTTGTTTGTGGTCAATTTAGTATCAGCTGATGATTCAGATAATGAAAATACTCTGAGATGTTTGGTTAAATATTTGAAGACAATGGGAGTCAATGAAGAATTTTTTTCTGACGTTAATACGCAAATTGGCTCTGAAGTCGATTGCAATTCTTTGATGGACGCTCGCTTGACTAAGGCGTATGGGAAAATCCAAGATAAGCTTAATTCTGATGCGTTCTTTTCAAAATATACTGATTGTATTATGAAATCGATCAAGACAGAAACGAACAAAGTCATTCTTTTACAACGAGAAGCTATTAAAATACACGGACTTGGCATTAAAGTGTGGAATTATTTTAATCAAAAGGAGCATCTCGATGGATTGAAAAAGAAGGTTGAAGATTCCATCAATAAAGTAGCATCAGAGAAATGCATCACTGTTTATTAAGATCAGCTGCATTTAACAAACTGAAAATTAATAAAAAAATAAACAAAACAAATTGAAGCTTTAATTTAAATCTATTTCTCCACAAATTCCATCTTGTAATCTAAATGTGTCTGTGACAATCTTCCATTTAGCGTTATTATCTGCTGTTAAGACAAAGGTTTGTTGAAATGCTCTGCTCCTTTTTCCTGCAATTTTAACTGTTCCCGACACTTGAATAAGAATAGTTTTTCCAGCTGATGAATCCAGAATTGGTTGAGCATCAATTGTTGTGAGATCGTGCTTTGTCGAGGGCATTTCTATTATGAATTTAGCGATGTTATCCTTGCCATTGAATCCATTTCCATTGTAAACGAGAAGTCCATTATCCATGTATAATTTATTTAGTGTCGGCTTTTTCTTGTCAACATGGTCGTAGTAAATATGTTTAATAAACTCATCAGCAGCTCGAGCTGCTTCATTAATTCTTTCTTTAAGTTCCTAATTAACATAAAAAGTAATAAAGGATTGTTAGATTTAAGTACACATTTCTTCTGCTAATTTCTTATGTGATGAAATAAACATTAGATTTACTTACTTCACTCATGTTGGCAGCCATGTTTTATTTATTATGTTTACCGGCTAGTTAATTTATTAATTTTAATGTTTTATTAGAAATATTCGAAAAATTATTGAAAACCGTGTGGCTTTAGCTGCTTCCTACAAGAAATGTTTACATTTTCTGAAAATTTTCTTTTTCACTGAACGAAATTTTGAATTTTGTTGTCAGTTAAAAATGTTAAACTGAAAATTCGATTTTCATCACACCACAGAACAATTGAAGGACAAAATAACTAAGTTTAAATATTTTAATCTACTGGTAGCCAAAAAAGATATGGAATATCGCACAAAACTTCTCAAAATGAAAATTAAGTAAAAAAATTTAACTCGTTCAAATTTTAACGGAAATCAGAGAAAATAAAACATTCGCTCACTGAACGCACAAAATTTGAAAAGTGCTTTTTATTCAAAGTTTTTTGTTTTGTTCTTAATTTTATTTTATTTTAATCAAATTGAGGAATTTAACAAAGTTTCAAATATTTCCAATAGTTAGATAACATCACAGTGCTTTAAATTTCAACAAAAGTTACAAGCAAAACAGAGAATTAGCCTTCTAAAAAAGAATCAACAAGTGGCTAAGTCAGTTTTCTCTTCTTACTCAATAAGTTTTTCGTTTTCTCGCTCACAAAGCCGAAATGAAAAACACTTTTCTTCTCATCTCATCAACATACTAAATTTACAATCATTCCTTCATCAGCTACAAATGAGCGAAATTCTCTGAAGTGGCCAATTACACAAAATCAAGCATAGCCGCCTGTAACATTGTAAAGAAGAAAAAAGTTGCCTTAAATCATCACCAATATGATCTAATCTTCCAGCGATACACATACACGCAAATAAAATTTTTATACTAGGTGCTCAAATAAGAAATGTCAAAAATTGCTGTGTTGTGTTGTTGTTTACACGGTGAAAAGAATGTGAAATATTTTCCATAAAGAAATTAATAATTGTGATACAAAAGACAGAAAAAAAGAGTGAAAACGAAAAGAAACAAAGAGAGTTCTTTGAAAGTTAAAGTTTTTTTAGTAGTATTCATCAGTTAAAAAATGTCTAAACACGACAGAACAAAGTCGGGCGGATTCTTAGATACACTTTTCACCCGCTCGGCAAAACGAGGCCATAGAAATAACTACAGTGCAAATGGAACGCGACCAGTGTCTACCAATGAGAATGACAACATTGACATGCAAGACATCGAAATTCTCGTGCTCAGACTTACTGTCGAAGAAGTTAATCAGCGTTTTCTTGAGATACTCGAGGACATGAACATACCAAAAGACAAACGCGATCCGCTTATGAGAAAAAATCTTGATGAGAAACGAGATATGTTGAGGATGCATCTAAAAGGTAAACAAACAAAGAAATTTCATTCATTCGTTGAGGGCGTCCAATTGTCTTGATCTTTACTGACACGGCCTTGACTCAATTTTATGCTCAGCTGAGATGTGTAACATTCCACAACCAAATTTATTTGATTCATTCATTGATTGACGTTCCCGTCGTCATCGTTTATGTCTCTGTAAAATTTTATTTATAAAATCATGAAAACTTGCACAATTTCTTCGTTTTACTGCTGATCGTTTTTCGTTAAAGTGCGGTTGTGGGAAAACCTTGAAAAGAATCGCGTGAAAATGATTACTTTTATTATTATTGTTATTATATTCTTACACACACACGCAAGAACTTTCTTCCGACCCTCGTGAAACGTTTATAACTGTATTTAATGTGAAAGGAAAGATGAGTGAATGTTCTTCCGGTGAGATTCTACTGTTCAGCTCCAATTTTAAAAAATTCCCTTAAATGGTTATGAAGAAAATTAAACCGAGCGTAACTGAAAGCCCTTTTCACTTAATTATATTTTTGTATTTTACATGATTTTGACTTGCAAGCACGTAAATCGTGCATCGCAACCTTTCACACGAATAACTTGGTTGTATTCAATTTGCCAAGTCTTATCAGTTATCAAATCTGTTCACTCTTAGTTAAGTTAGCAGTAAATTGTAAATCGATGACACCTTATCATCGACAGTTTATTTCAGTTTACGAAGTTCTTTCTTCATTTATCTTAGCTTTTGTTATTAAAACGGTTTTTGCATTGTGATGACATCATTTTACTTTCAAGTGTGTGTTTTTTTTCTTTTTATTTTCGCGCAGCAATTTAATAATATTCGTAGGTGGTTGGCCGAAGTTGATGATAGAATTTATCTTGCATCATTTTTGTTGTGAGTCACTTTCACAACAGCTTAAATTAATGGCTGTAAAATGAATATCAAAGGCCATGCCTTAAATTTAACCTTGAACCGTAACTCAAGTTATCCTCCGAAATGTAATTAAAAACGGAAGTGCTTTTACTTTTATAAAAATAGTCAAACAAAAATGTTTTGAAAAGTCGCGTGAACTCAAAAACGTATGAAGAAAATCTGAAAAGTTAAAAATATATTAAAAAATTTTCCTTTCTTTTCAATGATTGCATTCGTAAATATCTCCGAAACGTACCTCATATCGCTTTCGTTTGAGTTCATCATGTGAAGGAAGAAAAGAATTTTCTTGGCGATTTGCCATCAGTTAATAAATTTTCCATTCGATCTTTCTCCACCGTCAATAATGGAAATAAAAATTGCGTTGGCTTTAACGTCTTTACAAGATCAAGTATCAATTCATCTATCTTGTTTATGTCAAAGTAATTGAAAACTTCAATCATATTTTTTTATGTTTTAGGCAAGGCACAATCTGAACATCGATCAAATTCACGGTTTGAAAAACCACGCGATTATATCGATTACCTGAAAGAAGCTGATCGTAGTCCAACAAAAATCTATCAATGTGTTGAGAGTTTACGTGTTGCATTAACAAGTAATCCAATTAGTTGGATAAAAGAGTTTGGTGAGGCGGGAATCGATGAAATTGTAAATTTACTACGCGAGAGTAAAAGACGACGTGAATACGAGAAAATCGAATACGAGTGCATCAGATGTTTGAAGGCTGTTGTTAATAACACTTGGGGATTGAATGTTATTCTACGCCCTGACCAACATGCCGCCGTATTACTTCTCGCACAATGTCTCGATCCGAATAAACCGCAAACAATGTGCGAAGCTGTTAAACTTCTCGCAGGGTTTTGTCTCATTCAAGAACGAAATGGTTACGATAAAGTCCTTCGTGCTGTTACAAATGCCGCAGCAACACCTGACAAAAGTGGTGAAAGATTCAAGACGATTGTTGAGGCACTTTTTGTCGAGCATGAAATGGAAGAAAAAGGCCATCGAAAGACGGAAACAAAAGGCGAATTGTGTTATCATACTTTGATCTTCATCAACACGCTTACAAACACACCAACAGACTTGAACTTTCGTTTGCATTTAAGATGTGAAATGATGCGTTCAGGGTTGTATGATCGATTGGAATTGTTAGCGAAAATTGTCCAACAAGCGCAAGATCAAAGATTGGAGAACCATTTCAAGATTTTTAATTCATTTCGAGAAGAAGATTTTGAAGAGTTCAGTTCACGTTTCGATCATGTTCGATTGGAAATTGACGATGTTAATGACTGCTTTGAATTGCTTAAGAATCTTGTTGTTGACACATCAGCTGAGCCGTATTTCTTATCAATCCTCCAGCACATGTTATTTATTCGCGACGATCACGTTTATCGACCTGCTTACTATAAATTAATTGAAGAATGCGTCAGTCAAATTGTCTTACATAAAAGTGGCGTCGATCCAAACTTTAAGTCAAGAGACTTTCATATTGACACAAGCGTTCTTCTTGATGATTTGGTGGAGAGAAATAAAGCAATGGAAACGAAGCGAGTTGAAGAGTATGAGAAGAAATTGGAGGAACTTCAAATGGCAAGACAAGAAGCAGAAGCTGAAGCTGCGCACTTAAAAGAAAAACTGAAAGAAATTGAAGCGACTGGTGTTGTCGTAAAGACCAATAAACTCCCACAAATTACCATTCCACCACCTCCATTAATGCCAGGCATGACAAGGCCACTAGGATCAGGAAGTGCACCAGTTGGTAATGCACCACCACCACCTCCAATGCCAGGTAAGAAACTTCATCTCTACATGCTTTTAATTTGTTTATTAATGAAATTTCGTTGTTTTCAGGAATGATGGGAGCACCAAGACCACCTCCAATGCCTGGTGCAGGGCCACCACCACCACCAATGCCAGGAATGGGTCCAATGCCTCCACCAATGATGCCAGGAGGAATGATGCCACCGCCAGCTCCAAAATTGCCTGAACCATTGCCTCATGGCCTGAAACCCAAAAAGAAATGGGACGTCGATGGTCCCATGAAGCGTGCCAATTGGAAAGCAATCATTCCACATAAGATGAGTGAAAAATCCTTTTGGGTACGTGTACATGAAGATAAACTTGCATCTGATGACATTTTAACGGGATTAGCTTCGAAATTCTCATCGAAACCTGTCAAACGCATAGCTGAGAAAGATTTACCAGATCGACCAACAACTACAAAGAAATCTGTTGTGGATTTGAGAGTTCTAGATGGAAAAGCAGCTCAAAACTTGTCAATTTTGCTTGGTGGATCGTTGAAGCATTTGTCATATGATCAAATAAAAGTTTATTTGCTTCGATGTGATATGTCAATGTTAAATGCGAGTATTTTACAACAACTGATTCAATATTTACCTCCACCAGATCAGTTAAAGAAGCTTCAAGAGTTGAAAGCAAGTGGAGAAGAATTATCAGGTGCTGAGAAGTTTGCTGCAACAATTGCTGATGTAAAACGTCTTGGAGCTCGTCTACAAAGTTTAAGTTTCCGTTTAAATTTTCCTGATCTTGTGAGTGATGTGAAGCCTGATATTGTATCAGCAACAGCGGCATGTGAAGAGATGAAAACAAGTAGAAAGTTTGCTAAAATTTTGGAACTTATTTTGCTGCTTGGAAATTACATGAACACCGGATCGAAGAATGAAGCTGCATTTGGATTTGAAATTAGCTTTCTTCCAAAACTCACAAACACAAAAGATTTTGAAAATAAGCAAACGTTGCTTCATTACATCGCTGAAGTTGTTGAGGCGAAATTCCCAGAATGTTTGACCTTTTACGAAGACTTATCTCACGTTGATAAAGCGTCTCGTGTCAGTCTCGACAATATTCAGAAAACAATGCGGCAAATGAATGCGTCGTTGAAGAATCTTGAATCGGACTTAAATAACAATAAAATTCCACAGTCGCCTGATGATAAATTTATTGAGGTGATGGGAAAATTTTCAACTGAATGTCGACAACAAGTTGAAGTTCTTGGACGGATGCAAGTTCAAATGGAGAATCTGTACAAAGATCTCGCAGAATATTACGCTTTTGATCAAAACAAATACACGCTTGAAGAGTTCTTCACGGACATTAAAACATTTAAAGATGCATTCGTGCAAGCTCATCAAGATAATTTGAAAATTCGTGAGAATGAAGAGAAAGCGAGACGAGCACGAGAATCACGAGAACAGCAACAGAAAGATTTGCAAGAAAGAAATCAAAGAAAATTGGCATTGGTCGATATCGATGCTGCTCAAACGCAAGAAGGTGTCATGGACAGTCTTCTAGAAGCACTTCAGACAGGGTCAGCATTTGGAAATCGCGATCAGCGACGGAAAAGAGGCGCAAGACCAACTGGCGCTGATCGAAGAGCTCAATTATCTAGAAGTCGATCTAGAACAGGAATAACTGCAGCGAGCTTCTCAAGTCGAGAGATGCTTGCTAATGAGCTTTTAGCTGCGTAATTTCCTTCTTTCTTTTTTGTTGTCAATTTTTTTTGTACAGAATTTAAAAACATTTAACATTGAACTTAATTAAAGAATTTCGGACTTATGACAAAAGCATTTCAAATTAACAACAATCTAGTTACTTAGTTGTGTAAATAAATAACAAACAAGCAAAAAGGAAAAAAAAGTGAAAGTAATTTGATATAAAAGAAAAAAGACAACAACAATAGACTTAATTAATCTTTATAGGAATGTTAAAGTTGCTGAAAGTATTGGTCGACCTTCGAATGTGAAAAATTTGTTAGTTTTGGACTTTTAAAGTGAATATTGAAACGTTCAAGCTGTTTGATGTAATATAGTATAAGTAAATAAACGGTTGTTGTTGGAGATGAAGATGAGAATGATGGAAGAAATTCTTCTTGTTGCATTTTTTTTTTAAATTTAATTTACAAAAATATTTCAAGTCAACGAATTAATTAAATAAAGTTTAAAAAAAATATTTTGTTAGCAAAGTCCTCAATAATTTAAGTCAATCAATAAAATTATTATTCAAAAACAATTTCATTTTATTTCATGTTTGCTTAAGTGGATTCAAAAGCAATTTCAGTGACACCTTGAACGTAATTGAAACCTTCACGGACATATTTTTGTAATTGTAATGTCACTGCGGCTTCGAAAGCATTGGATTCAGCAAGAACTTCGATGATTTCATATTTAATTTGCTTCACTTCTAGTGTGATGTTGGAATTTCGATCTAATAAATATTCCACAAAACCGCCCGTCGCTGCAACCGCTCGTTGTCCAAAGTCATGATAAATCAGTGAACGAAGAAGTTTAAAAGCACTCGTGGAAATATCTTCAAAAGCGTTCTTACAGAAATTAATGACAACCATAAGATCCGATCCAAAGATGGAACTGAACCATTTTTGACAAATGTAATTGACTTGATTGTTACGTGATGACATAGGATCAATCCAGAAGACATTTTCAAAGCAATTGATTGCTCGCACTTTCAAGTCTGTTGGATAATTTGGAATTGTTTTCGAAACGTGAACTAAAACTTTAACACATTGTTCAGTGTTAAGAGAATCGAGAGTGATTTTGCCATATTCATGTCTTGTGAGATGTCCCAAAGTGTCGAGAGCTGTATAAAGTAGTTGGAAGTCATCACCCAAAAGACAATTGTAAAGTGTGTTGATGAGAGCTGGGTAAGCGTTGAAAATCTTTTCAGGGAAAACAGCAGCGACGTTGCCGAAAAATTTCATAAGACCAGGCACGAGAATGCTTACCAGTGGATCCTCATTTATTCTATCGATACGCTTAACAAGGTTGTCAAACACTCCTTTGTTTTCGAGATAGACAAGTCCAAAACTGGTTAGACATAATTCTTTTAAAATCTCCAAAACATTCATTAAAACCAAAACGTCTTCCTTATTCATTTCATTTATGCACTTTTCAAGTAAATATTCCATCTTTTCTAATTCTTTAGATCCTCCTTTTGCAACTCCAACTGCTACGCTATAAACTCTAAGTGCAATTACATCGTCTTCATTTTCGATTGTCGACAAAAGTTGTTTCTTCACAGCTGGATCATCAATGAAATTTTGTAACTTTAATAATTCAATGAGAATTTGAATCGATGGAATTCCTATGCTTGTCTCATTTGATTTAAGACATTCAATAAACATCATAATAGTTTGGAGTTTATGTAAAGCTGTTGAATGCTGAAGGTTCTTCTCAACAAATCTTACAGCGACTGTCTTGACTTTAGCGTTTGGATGTTTCAGGATCATTTCAGTTATGTCAAACAAATCCGGTTCATCGTTGATTTTAAGATTTGTCATGCACATTTCTAGAATGTCATAAGCAACTTCTCTAAAATAAAAAAAAGAATTTTATTATTACTTAAATTGCTGAGTCACTAGAAATTTAACTTACGAATTAGCATTCCTTAAGAACTCTTTTGAATTAAGAACATTCTTTGAACTTTCAGCACAATGTATTAAATGTTTCTTAATTTCGTTGAGTTTTTCTTGAATCGTTTCATCATTTCCAGTCGTTTCCAAAGCTTTTAAAAGTAAATCTATTGACTCCATTTTTATGTCAATGTTGACAAAACGAAATACTAAAGAGTACGTTCAATAAACCGGTGTTCAAGTTTCTTTCACAAGGGACCGACTTGCGTGGATTTGACCTTCCATATCAAGTGGGCGGATTTTAAGTTACTACTGACCCGGATAAACCTTCCATACGAGATCTCTCTCGGATATTTTCTCTCTCGTTCTAGACCCAAACAAACATTTCAAATTTGGTTAGCTTGAAAAAAGAATTAATAAAAATTAACGCTAAGAGCCAAGTTTACAATCAAAAGCATTGTAAGAAGTGAATATAATTATAAACACAATCTGTCAAATATTAAATTATGTCGACAAAACATAATTTGATACAAGAAAGACTCAATTTGAAAAGAGCGTAAGTTTTTATGACGAAAGAAAAATAATTAAAAATGTACTTAAATATGATTTAAATGGAATATATTATTCTATCTTTTCAATTGAAGCCCTTTGGATGAATGGAATACACACGAACAATTATGTCTCGCATCAGCTGTCGCTTGTTCCGGTGATCAGAACTGGATGAGCGTCTCAAGGGCATTAAAACAGATTGTCAACGATTACTCTTCACGTCCACCTGATTGGTTTATCTCGAAATCGTGTGCAACCCAATATGGGAAATTACTTGAATCAGTTGAAACACCAAAACGCAAAAAGGTGCATTAAAATTTAAGAAATTAACACAGAAATTTGATAAATTTTTGTTGTTCCAGCGAACCGCTTCAGAACGAGATCAACCAATTGAAACACCTTCAACTCCAGTTGAATCTCTTGTTAAAAAGTTAACCAACGAACGTATTCTTGAACTGAAAAAGGCAATTGCGGAGGACCAGAGAGATTTCGCTAAGTTAAAGGAAGAAATTTTGTTTCTTCAAAGTGACACGATGGATGAAGCCAGAATCTATGAGATGTGGAACGAAATCGAGCAAGAAGAAGTTAAGAAGGAACAAGAGCAAGTTCGTTATAATCAATGGTTGGAAGAACGTGAAAGAAAGAAGCTGGAAATTGAACGTCAATGGCGTCCAAATTATGGATTGAAAGCTCAAAACATTAAAGTTCAAAAGCCCACCACAGAAGAGGAATCATCATCGCCACAACAACAGCAACAACAAGCAGGTACTTCATCATCTCCATCACCATTGCTTACATCGCTTTTAAAATCATCACAAGCTAACCAAATGCCGATACAACCTTCAAACACATCACGCTCGGCGCCCACAATTACCAATCTTCTAACCGGCACATCATCATCGACATCATCATCCAATAGTAGTCCCTCTTCTTTCATTACACAATCATCATCCACAAATGCACAAAACAATCTCATTAATGCTTCCGTCAGTGTTGCACTGGTGCCAAATGCCATCATTAATCATTCTGCTTCTGTTCAAATTCCAGTTTCTCAAACAGCGCCAACACTCATAACATTGCTTGATAAAAAATTATCAACAGTTTCTGCAACATCCCAGTCCTCATTATGCTCATCATCAGATCCTTCAACAAACGAGAAACAACAATTGATGTTATCAATTTCAGTTCCTGAAGGAAGTGGAAAAGATGGAAGCGATGTGAAGGATGAAGACGAAGACATTCTCGTTGACTTCAATCTAATCACCCAGAATTTGGACGATGACGATTTGGAAGACATCAACGCGATTATTATGAATCCAGAGATTCTTGAAGATAAAATCACCGATCATGAGCCTTCGATTAAAGACGTCGATGACTCGTCACAAGCAACATCGACAGATGACTACGACAAATTGAAGATTAAGCAACTTGTTGAAAATTTCGCTGGTAGTTCTGAAGTTGAACAATCTTCAATTAGAGGTGAGAATATACAAGAACATGTCATGATAACGCCAGTAAATAATGAAGGAAGTGAAGTTATGCAAATTCAATCAGAAGCTGAAACTTCGAATCCAACATCAGTGGAATTGATTGAACCAACAGAATCAAATGATTCCAAACAATCTCCAATTCATGATGAGAAAGTTATGATAATTTCTGATGAAAGTTCCAACACTAACGATACGAAGAAAGAAGAATTGAGTGAGAAAATGGAAACTGGTGAAGCTGAAGAATCACAAAGTGTGAAGTCGTCGATTGCTGATGATGTGAAAGATGGAAGTGGTGAAGATTCCACCATTAAAGATTTGCGTGTGTTTGAAGGACTGCAAGAGAGCGACGAGAATTCTGCTTTGAGTGAGAAACATCCAAAAGCACAAACGACAACTGTCTATCAACTTGATGATTCTGATGAAGATTTACTTTTTGAGGATGCGAAAGAAAATCAAGAAGCTTCTTTAATTAAACCTCCAATTAAAGATCAACAGAAATTTGAAATTAAAGAACCTGAAAAAGTTGTCGAAATTCAAGATCCGAAACCGAAAACTGTCGAAGTTGAAGAAATCACACGCTCAGGATGTTCTGCTGACAGTGATGATGAAATATTAGAAGTGAAAGTGTCACGTAGCATTGGACGAAAGAAAGCAGCCGACACTTTGAAAGCTGACACGCCACGAAATTCAACTCGCTCAAGAGATCAGTCGGAAAATGATGACAAAGATTCAACTCCAATTCGCACTCGAAGTCGTCACTCGTCATCTACTGGAAGAGCTTCTGACCAACCTAAGCCATTGTATAACTTCTCGAAAGAACAAGACCACTCAATGTGGAAGGAACGATGGGATGATTGTCTCAAAACTCTCCAGAAACACAAGGATTATTCAACTGTCGTTGATAACAAAGTGATTCCTGATGATACATGCAAAAGTATTATTCTCACTCCTATGAACATCAAAACCGTTCAGAAGAATATTGAAAATCATTTCTCGACGTTGCCAGGCGACATTAAAAAAGATTTTGCTTTGATGTGCACCAACATCATCATGCTAAACAAAAAAGGGTCGAAGTTCAATGATTTGGTGCATCAGTTTATGAAAGATGCCATGGAAATCATTGATTCGAACTTGGAAGTTGAAGAAGCTTACAAGAGTTATCGTAAGCAAATCAAGAAGAAACACTGAAACATGCATCGGTCGCTGTGGCTGAGTTGAAAGTGGGAGTTGAGAAGTTTTTGTAAGAATTGAAAATAATAAAAATTTGTCTCTCATAACTTGTATAAATATCACAAATGAATGCGTTTAATTTAATTCAATTTACGTTGTAGCAATTTTTGATTACAGGGCTAGAATTTGGGACTTATCTTGTCTCTTTATAAAAAGAAGTTGCTTTATTCGACAAAACGCGGTTGATTCGAGAGCAAGGCAAACTTCATAACTTCAATCGCAAGACATAAAAATTGATTCACTTTTCTGCATCAGCAAAAACAAACAAATATTATACTAAAATCTAAAGTTATTTGTTCAAGTACCATCAAAAATAAAACAAAAAACTTTTAAAGTGCTTTTGAAACAAAAACGGCGAAACTGAAGTGTGATGAAAGTGTTGGCTCATGCCCAAACAAAAGGAAATTGATTCACCTCATCACGGACGGAGACTCATTAAAATTCTACATCACGTAATAAGAGAAAAATCAATTTTCTGTTAATCTCAATTGTTTTGGACCATTTTAAATATAATGAGACCTTTTTCTTTTATTACTTTTTCGTCTCGTCGCCTAAAAAGTTTAAAGCATAATGAAGCTTTCGTACTCGCACGTAAAAAGCGAACAAAATTGAAAAATAATCATTTTTTAAGAAATAAATCAATCTTGTAATGTTTTATTTCATTTTCTCTTAAATAAGTCAAAAATCGATTAAATCAACATTCAAATTTAGAAGAAGCACGTGGCTAATCAAAGAAATGACATTCTCATGCTTCGATGTTTTTAACTGAAAGAGAACGTTCAATGATCAATGAGATTTTTCACGACGAGAATTTTATTTGGTCATTGCTTAATTTAGCACGAAATTCCAAAGAAAGAAAGAAAGAAGGAACTACAGAAATTATTTAATAATAAAATGTTGTAATTACAAACGAGACTGTCAAAATGCCAATAAATAGATAATAAAACAACTCAAACATAATTTCCTCGTTATTCAGCTTATTATCTTAGTAATCTACAGAAAACATTTAACGATAAAATAACAAACTATAATTATGAAGAAATCAAAATTAAATTTGTTTAACGATTTGGTAATGTACACTCCGGGAAACAATAAGCGGAAGTCATTTCGATCAACTAAAATCATTGCAACAATTAAGAGAGAAACTTCAAGGGAAGAAATATTGGGAATGATCACAGCTGGGATGAATGTAGCGAGATTTGATGCTTCAAGCGGTAAGAAAGAAGACTTTGAAAATATTGTAGCATCTTTGAAAGTGTTTAAAGAAGTTGTGAATGAATGTAATAAAAGTGGAGCAATCAAATCTGAAAACTTCTTCGTCACTCACATCGCCTGTGCATTGGATTTGAAAGGAGTTTATCTGGAATCAGAAATTTATGGAAAATCTGGTGACCCTGACGTCAAACTTTCACGTGGTGATAAAATTATATTCACTAATCATTCTGAGAGAAAAACGAAATCAACTTCGCTATGTGTTTACATCAATTACCGAAATCTGTCAAAATTTAAATTGGGCCAACCCATAATCATTAATGAAAACATTCATTTGATCGTTGAAAGCATTGAACGTGCACCTCTTGAAGCTCTGATTTGTGATGTTGTCAAAGGTGGAAAGTTTGTTTGTGGTGAACGGATGGAAGTTAATTTTCCGGGAGCTAAAGCTGATCTAGATTTAGAAGCAATCACTGAAGACACAATTTCAGCAATAAATTTCTGTAAAAAGAACGAAATTGACTTACTTTTCGTTTCTGTAAATAAGCCGAGTGATCTAGTTAAAATCAATTGTCATGTCAAAGCTGACGGCGGTCTGCACACAGTTAAAGTCATTGCGAAAATAGAATGTGAAGTTGTTCTTCAATTTATTGAGATGATTATTGAACAATCAGATGGTTTTATGATCTCACGAGCTCGTTTGGGTCGCAATATTTCACCTGAACTTGTCACTGCTTTTCAAAAGAATGTCATTGCAGAGTGTTTGTGAGCTGGAAAGCCGTCAATTGTAGGAGGTGATTTACTTGAAAGTATGGGAAAAGTCAGAAACAATGACGCTACGCACTCTGAAATCGCTGACGTCGTTAATTTAACTCTCGACGGAGTTGATTGCTTCATGCTTCACGAAACAGTTTCGACAATCAAAGTTATTGAATTTCTCAATTCCACGATAATGGAAGCTGAAGAAATGGTTGATTATCAAAATTTGCATCGTCTTTTGATGACCCAAGCCTCAATCTCAAGCATTTCCATGGTTAAACGAGACTACACAAATGTCATGGCTATCATGGCATGCAATGCCGCGATGAAGAACAACGCAAATGCAATTATTGCCTTAACTGAAACTGGCAAAACTGCAATAATGCTTTCAAAATACCGACCAGAGTGTCCAATTATAGCCGTGACTAGTTCATCTGTTGTCGCGCGTAATTGTCTTCTTCTACGAGGTGTTTTGTCACTCAACGTTAATTGTGAGTCATTAAAATTGTGCTAAGCTTCTTTTAACGATTATTTATTCTCATTTTGCATATCAAGTGGTGGAAACTGATACTTATGAGCGATCAATTGAAATGCAGACCAAAGCAGCAATTTCTTTTATTGAAGCTAATCATTTGAATAAAACTTTAACAGGAGTTGCAATTCTTGTTATGGGTCAAAGAACTGGATCAGAAAAGTTGAACACAATTCGAATTATTCCATTACAGTATGAAAATTCAATGAATGATGATTTGAAACAGTAAAACTAAATAAAAAAAGCTTCCGCATAGTTACTTAAGAAATCCAAACCAAATACTTCAAGCAAAGGAAATGAAAGAAATCATCCTTCAACCACTTCATAAGCATTAATTAATTTTATCCTTTTTATGCTTGTGTTGTTGCTGTTGTTGATATTGCATTACGAAACTTTTCATTTCCACTCGAACGACAACATGAACTGTTGAAATAATGGAGCAGTGCAATTAAATAAATTGAATTCTCTGTTCTGTATTTGTTGTAAATGAATAAAAGAGGAAAAGTAATGAGAACGAGTGTATGTGGAATGTTGAATGCATATTAAAGCCACATCAGGAATTCTCAATAGATGAAAAATGTTGAAAGAGAATTTTTTCTTTTCTGTCCAATTGATTAAAGTGGAAACGAACAAGAATTTTCATTTGCTTTTTCCCGCGACTGTCAGTTTCTGTTTTTCACATCCATCATGATGGTTTTATCAGTTTATTCTTCTTTTTTTATTTGCAATATAGCAAACTTATGTATGTATAAAACATGAGATGCTGGTGGTGTTTACAATGATCTGCAAATTTAGATGGGAGGAAAATTCTTCTATCGCTTTAAAAATATTTCAACAATTTCCAGTTCTTTAATCAACCAAAGTTAGTGATTTAGAAAATTTCTCAAAACATTTCTTCAATATTTATCGTTGTTTCAATTCAAATTTAATCCATAAAAACACATTTTACATACAGAAACATAAATCAAATTAGAAATTCAATTTCAATCACTTTATTGGAAAAAATAAAAGAAAAATATTAAAGTACTTCAATATCTATGCGGAAAAATGTCGAAAGTAGACGAAGCATGAAGTGCAAATAAATTAAAGTTCTTTTCACTTTTTTGTGCTTTGTGGCGTCTGCAAAAGTTTTCCCAACAGACCAAATGAAAAGGATTATTAAAAATATTTCAGTCTCGCGTGTCGAACATAAAATGAACATCCCTGAACATGGAAGTCTCATAAACATCATGACTTGTGTGCTTAATGATTGTGTATGTTGGCGAGTGTTCTTAAAAAAGAAGAAATAAGCTCATTCGTGAAAAGTGTTGACAGCGACATAGAAGGGCAAATATGAAATCGAGAAATAAACATCTCGGAAAAGGAAAGGCAAACAAAAAGAAGAAACGATGATAGAAGTGTTAAAATCTCATCATGTACAACAACTGAGACTAATGAAGTTATGTGTATGAAAGAAAAAAGTATTTATAAGAGTTCTGAGTGGGAAAGTTTTTAAGAATACGATGATGATGATGATTATATGACACTTCAGAGAATTTCTCATTAAAATTGTATTTTGTCACTTAAATAGTCGCATTTACTTAAGTAGATGAAAACTTTTTTCTTCTCGTCAGCACTTCCCAAGTGCAGTAACCTTCAATTAAATGTTTTATGACAAGAAATAGAAGAGAAAGAAAAGTTGAATTAAATTTCCATTGAGACTTTACATTCATCATCGATTTCGTTTCAAACAGATTATCTTAAAAGTTCAAGCAATGTGGTTAAAAGGAAATCATTTATTTACTATAATGGAGTTTTAATCACTTTCATGAATCACTGTGGTGAGGCTCAAAACCTAACACTGATAGAGTTCTTTAATACCCGAGAGCCATAAAGTTTTATTGCCAACAATCAGACGAAATTGAAATCTATGGCGTAAGCGTAGCACATAACAAGGCTTTTGATGCATTAAATGTGTTAATAAGGGGCAATTTTAGTCATAAACAAAAAAACCAAAACCACTTCAGAATTTTTATTGTGCAATTCATAAAATAGAGTTCAATTAGAGTTCAAATAATTTTTATTACTATTGTAAAATAAAACAAGAAAAATCATTTGTTAGATTTTATGTTTCAATATGTCAATTATAAGGAACCAAGAAATACGAACATTTAAAAAACGAAAGCAATGTTCCATGAAAAAATATGTGACACGGTTGATCGATGAACAAATTCCGACAAATAAATTTGAGAAGGTGAAGCTGAGAAAATATTTCTGTCCATCACTTAACATAAAAGTATCAATTTTCTAACATTTTTTCAACGAACAACATAAAATCTTCGTAATCATGTTGTTGCTTTCCGATAATTCCGTTAGGCTCGCGATTCATCATTATTCATCTTAATAAAATCTCATATTTATTTATTGATGTAGCAAACGAACAGCTTGTTTGATTTACAAGCTTCTCTTTAAACTTTAATAATCATGCAATTTTCGCTCTTGGTAACTAATGATTAATGGAATGAAGATATGATCAATCTTAAAAAAATATTTCACACATGGAGAAAACGATCGCATATCGAGATATTAATTTTTTTTCTGTAAAAGGAAAGAACAAGTCGACTAACTTCAATGAAATGTAAAAAGAAAAATTAGTCCATCAATGGATTCGTCTCATTGCATTCGTAAATCTTTTTTCCTTATTACTTTCTCCAAATTATTTTCTGCTTTTATCAGCAACATCAACATTAATGAGGGAATTAGGAGAAGTTCAACGACAATACAAAGACATGTTCCGCAGATTCTTATGTAATTGACCAATTAAGTAATCTCTTACGATGTAATTTAATTGTCTTATTAGCTAGTAATGATTCTGTGATTATCAGTAAAGATTTATTGCCTTCTAGCCAACTGCCGTTTGAGACTCATTGAGACTGGAGTGCATAAATAGCTCAAGATGCTTATAAAGTCTTGTTTTGAAGGATGTTTTTCTTGAATAACCTGCTTAGGGAAATGAGAAAAAATTCCAATATTTTCTCATAAAATTCTATCGGGATCGTAAATAACAAGACGATACTAAACATCTTTACTACTCGATATTACTTTGAGCTTCAAGGAAAGTTAACATTACATGGCACAATGTTAATTTTATTACATTTCGGTAGCGTGATGTCTTCCATTTAAATAGAAGTGAAAAATCTAATAAAAAAATGTCTCATGACTAACACCAATGCTTCAAGAGAGGTGAAAAAAATTGATATCAGCTTTCATCACGAATGATTTTTGCACGAAGATCTGCTGACAAGATAGAAGAAGCAATGAATAAAAATTACTCGTATGTTGCTTTCTAATGGTGTCTGTTCTTATTATGATTCTGTAAGGTAATAACATGCTTCAGCTTTGAAAACACGATCAGCAACTTCCAGTAGGTCTCCATATTCTATTTTACTATAATTCTATAACTTTTTTTCTTTACAAAAAGCTCACTCGCATGTTGTGAGAAATTAATCAAATTGAAATTTATGATCCCAACAACAACAGACAGTAATTTCGGTTAGCTGAGTAACTCATATTTTTATTTTTCGTCTGGTCATCATTTTCCGGTTGTTGGCCTTTTGATGGCATGAATATAAGTTGTCGATTTCAGTTTTAAATGAAGAACATGAAGTTTTAAGACGAACTCGTCCATATGGTGGTGCTAATTAAATAAACGTAAAAACACTTTTCATTTTAGAAACATCGGGGAATGCAGCATCATGATACATATCAAAATAATTGCAACAGATGCGAATTTAAAGTTCCGACTTTATCTGATCAAAAACTATGCTACTGGAATGTTCAAACATGTTCTGATGTTGATTTAAGTAAACTTTCGGAAAGGTCATGTATATTTGTTGTGTTTGCTTTAAAATTTATTTCATTCAACATTAAGTGAACCAACGTGTGTTCGAAATCGAGAGAGTGAGAGAGCCAAGGAGAAAAATGAGAGAAAATGCTAAAAGTTTTCGAACATTATCCAAGAAGCTAAGAAGATATTTTAAGAAACTCAGTTGCGAAGAAACTTTTATGAGGTGAAGTACGACTTGCTTTAAAGAAAAATATAATTAACAATAAAAGTTGAAAATAATTAGAAAAAATAACTTGAGAGTATAAAAATTATTAAAAATCGCAAAAGATTATAAGGAAAATTAAGAAAGTGTTGCAAATATAAAACTTCTGAAAGTTTTAAATCTGAAATAATCCGAAAAAGTGTGCTTAAGTGCTTACCAATGTGAAAGAAGTTAACTTCAACAGAAAGAAAGCGAGAAATAAAAGAAGTTAGGTAATCGTTTGACTGTGTCGTGCGAAGAAACAAAATAATTCCGAAGCTTCCATTCATTTTATTGGATTAATTTATTCAGAAAAGTTTATTGGATTAACTTTTGAGATTTAATCGCCAAATGGTAAGAAGAATATTTTATCTTCATCAAATAATTGTGTAGAATCTCTTAATGATGTGTCTGCAATAATAATTTTCTTATTCTAAACGCAATTTGATCTTTCTTTCTTCGTGCAACTTTCATTGTTCATTCGATTTTTATGGAGTGCATGAAACTTAATTCGAGGGTGAAGTGAAAAATTTTACTACGCTCGACGAACACAAATAAAATTTTCATTCATTTTATCGTAACGTAGAAAAGCGTCAGCGTCAACAAAATGAACATATTGCACGACTAAGGGTGAAATAGCAAGGAAGAAAAATTTACAAACATTTGTGCCGGCAAGCGAAGAGTGTTCTGAACTGAACTAAAAATTTAAGCGAGGGTGGAAAATCAATAATTGCTTTAGTCCTGTGTGATGACTCATCCGGCGACGGGTTTTCCACAAATTTCTCAAGTAAATTTCCCCTGGAATTTAATGATATTTATTTCCTTATCCGTAATTAAATGTTCTCTACCTGCGTTGTTATTAAAACATATGTGTATGATATTAAGTAGCATTTGATTGATTATATTCGAGAAAAAATTCCCGTTGTCTTTACTGCAGTTTCAATCCATCTCGAACCACATTGCAAACGTATTTAAAAAGTCTTATGAACTTTCAGTTTATAGTTGTGGCAGATTAAAACGAGTTTTTCTGCTTCTTTTCGCTCCATCACGTTTCGCGTGTGTTTTTCGCTCTCAGCATTTTAATTTCATTTGCATTTAATCGAAGAATTTCTTCAATCGAATGAAACATGAAATGAAAATCTAATTAATGGTTCTTCAATCGGCAAATTTTTATGATTTGTTGTCTCAAAAGACCCTCCCAGATGTTGGTTGATATTTGTTTTCTGACATTTATAATAAATATTAAGCAGTGTTGAAAATTACATACTTGAGAATGAAGCATAAACTGGAAGACGTTCTTATAGTGAGAGACTCAAAAGATAAGATGAATGAACGAGTTAATGACTAGTTTGATTTTCATTCTAATAAAATTTTATATTTATTAATGATAAGCTGGGAGATACTTATGTGAGTTTGATGAAAAACTGTACAACGTAATCAACATGCTTCAGACATGCTAAAAGCAATCAAAGAATCAATGAGCATTAAAATACTTACGTACTTCTGTAGATATTCAGCATTGTTTGTGTGCGGATAATTGAAGGTTTCCAATTATTATTCGTTAGGGTTGCTTCAGTCATCATTCTAACCAGACTAACATTTTATTTCATTGCTTACATGTAACATGTCTACAACTTTCGAATAACAATAATTTCTGCTTATATTTTTTTCTCGCTTATAAACTTCAACACAAACCATGCAGATTTGTTTACGTAATCTTATAAATTATATATTTTTATCTCTCTTTATTCAGTGAATAATAATTCATGTCGATCTTTTAATATTATAAAAAACGATAAAAGAAATTGAAATAACCACGAAACACCCTCGAGATGGAATTATGACTTCAATAAAGAGTAAAAAAATCTCCGATCAGCAAAACGAAACTCAATTTCGAAATTACTTTATGACATTGTTGAGATAATTTAAATAAGACAATCGAATGGTAAATAAGAGAAGTTTTCTTCAAAGGGGTGGAAAATCTCAAAGGAAAACTTCTTGCTTCGTTTGCATTAAATTTAAATCCCTTTTGAGACTGGGAGGTTGTCTCTTGTTTCATTTATTCGAATTTATACAAAGCAAACCTTTTTTAATGTGATTCTATGTTAAAATGAAAATTAATGATTCACTTGATCGTTTGAGAAGCAATTTCTGCTGTTGTGTTGTGTTTCATCCAATTAATGGAAACAATAAAAGCAAGAGAAGAAGCCATCTTGCTAAAAGGAAACATGTCGAAGTAATTTAAAGGGTAAAATCTTTAAACAAATCGTATTGTTGTTTCAAAACTCAAAACTTATCTTGCATGAATTTCAAGATTTTCATCACGTTAAATCCCAAAGCATATAAAAAAGCCTCTTGTCTCAATGCATAGCTCGCTGTTTATTGTCATGTAATACATATTTATGTAGGTAAGATAACAGATAAAGCAGAGTGTAAAACAAAAACCAGCACGCACTCAAAAACAACAATGAAACCTCACAACCCAACCATTCAAGCACTCAAGAGTGAAATAAAAGCTTTGAAGAGTGTATAAAAGATTAAGTCACGTTGTAAGTTAACAATTGAGAGTTTTTGAGACACGACACCGCTTCCATTGATTGAGTAGTGAGATCGATGTTTGATTAAAAAGCTCTAAATAAAAAAGACATCTTAGAAAGAATAGAAGAAAGAAATACCGAAAAGATGCTTCAACAATTCAGACAGCTAATGGCACCCACATTAGCGTAATTTGTATTTGAATCTTTTAATTAAAGTTCTCGCTTCTTGGGAAAACAATCACAAATCGAAATTATGGAGGTTTGTTTTGTGTTACGGGCAATAAAGATGAAATGAAACGATTTTTCGTGGGTTTCTCTCATCCATTTAAATTCTCTTCTTATTATTTACTTTTTACGCGATCTCTTTTGATTCAACTTCAATTCTTTGCTTGGTCATGATGAATGATGTTATCGACTTGGATGGAACTCGACAGAAAGGAAATTGATAATTACAATGAACAATTTCGATTTCTACGCAATTATTTATCTGGAGAGTCAGGTTGAACTTTTGTTTAATTTGCAGTATTGATTGCAGAACGTGTTGTTGAACTAGTTTCACAATTTCTTATTTATTTGTCCGATAATTTTGAGACATTACATATGATGTATGTGTAAACATATTTATGTCCCCTAAGGCAAGATGAAGATGCATTTCTACTTTTTAAAGATAATAACAAGAAATTTGAGTTAATCCGTGATTTTCATTCCACGCGAAGGTTTAACAAACTTAAAACTCAAATCGCTTTATAAATTAAATAAAAGATTTCTTGGAGCCAACTCAATGACTTCATCAATGAATTCAACCATTGAAGTGAAACTCAAAACCAATCACAAGTTTCACTTGTATTTTGTTTTTAAAAATTTCTGATAAAAACGGGATTTTATGTCATGAAATAAATGCTTTAATTAACTTCTTTACCTTAAAAATATAAAATGAAGACATCTCAATATAAATTAATGGCAATGAGTCTCATTATAGTGAAAATGAACCAGTTTATGGAAATTTGATATCTCAATAAGTAAACGTCAATTAGCTACTAAGGAGACGACTTTTTTCTGGAAATATTTTTGTTTATGTTGCAAAATAAAGTTCTGAAATTTAATATCTTCTTTGTAAGTTATCGTAAGCTTAGGCTAATAATAATTGCTTCGCTTTCAAGCGAAATTCAAATTGCATCGAGGCAAAAGCTTACGAGAAGTTCATGACTTAGCTTGGCTTAGCCTTTGTCATAAGTTAATTAAATGCTTTTGTAAATAATACTTCACAGTTTATGTGTTTATAATCTTTTGAAGAATTTATCAAAATGAAAATCTTAATTGTCAAAGAAAAGACTTTTAAACTTTTGTTTACTGTTCATTTGAAACTTTTTGTAAAATTCTTCTTTTATTTATTTTCGAGTTTCTTCTCTTAAAAAAGAAGATCTATTAAAATTAATATTTTATTTATGTTTCACTATTAAAGCTCTTAATTAGATACTTATTTGAGAATAAGTACAACAGTTTCCGACATCAACTTTCTTCCATTAACTTTCGACTTCACATTAACATTAAACCATCAATTTTTAAAATAACATTACATGGTTAATGTTTTCATTTATGTTGATCGATTGTTTTATTTAATTCACTGTTATTACTTAAGTCTGCCAAATGCGAGAATAGAATGAATCATGAGTATATGATTAAATCGCCAATTCATCTCCTTCTATTAAGTGAAAATGTGCTGAGTAAACTTAAACCGATTTTTGTAATTATTTTCACAAATTGCTTCACTCTCGCCTTCACCTGCCATCAAAAGAACCTTTTGAATGAAAGAAAACGGATTAGAAAAGTCAATTAAATTTGATATTCAATGTAAGAAAGGGTAATGAAAATCATTTAATTAAACTTTAGATCTGACGTTCATCAAATAAAGCCATTCATCAACTTAAACTTATCACGCTTCAGGGGGATTTGACTTCTTGTGAAATTTTGTCATTAGAGAAGTTGAAAACGAAATGGAAGTTGTAATCATTAATATTTGTTACTCACGGGCATCATCAACTCAGACATTTCATTTTCAGTTTCTTCATTATATTTCCTTCTGAATGATGTAAAGAATCTTTTAGCAATTTACTTACTTGACAGATACTTTTGATTGTGTAAGATTGTAAGAGGAGAAAATTGCTTCAAGAATAGTTTCAAAACTTCCATTCCATCTATCACTGTTTTATCTATGATGCAATCAAATTAAGCTCAACTTACTCTACAAACTACCTTTCGTTTAAATAACACATTTTAGTAGATTCTAAGAAAAGGAAAATATTTATTTAATTTCGGTAATAGCGAAGCGAAAGAAATTGTAAATAATTATACGTCTTCCAAACATGCCAACATATTCTTCTTCTTTCTATGGCTTCGCAACATATTTTTTCTTCTTTTGCTTGCAACTACACCGTTCATTCTATCATTCAGGCCCATAAGTTAATTTTCGGCATTTCTCGGAAGAAGATGAAATAAAAAGAATTTTTCAACTTAAATTTGTTTTAAGCTGGAAAAGCGTTTTCATCATCATCACGCTTACAAATTAAATTTGCTGGTGAAGCATGAAATTCCTTAAAGCCCCAAATGAACTTGATTGAAATTGAAAACAGATTTAAAGCGACACTCAAAGTAAATGTAGCAAATATTCCCAAGTGTTTGTTTACAAATTGAATTTTACTGATGTTGATTTGATGTTCCGAGATTTTCCTTCCGCATCTCTTTTCTCCACTCGAAATTGTTTCATGTTGAAGGTTAAGATCTTTTGAAAAGCACTTCAAGAAAATCCCTTTAAAGTGAATTGTTCGGTTGTTTGTTTGTTTACTCAAGAAAATAGAAAAAGAATCACAAAGATTATAAAACAAATTGCTTGAAGGAGATGAAATGGAAAATGATTTCTTGTTGATAATCAAATCAAACATTTTTCATCTCATAAAGTTTTAATTCAATAAAAAAAAAAGTTGCTTGTGTTTGATTTGCCGGAAGATCTTTCATAAATGTTTCAGTTTATCTTTTTTCTATCTAAAGTAACTATATTTAGGCCGTTGGCAGAGGATTATAAGTTAATTGAATATGTAATAACAATGTGATAAAATTACGAAACATTCTTGCTATGGAAACAAATTTCAACGTACCTACTCACTCAGCTTGAGATTTACAATGATTTATTAAATCATTTTTAGAATGTCTCTTAGATGAAAGAAAAAAACAAATTAATCTACATTTCCATAGATAATAATTTTTCTTCATCAAATGCGATGATTTTTTGAAAAGCAGACATAAACAACACAGCGTGAGCGAATCAAGAAGCTATAAAATTAATGAATCATAAAACAAGTTGAAGGGAGGATCCAATTTTTGCTTAATAAAAAAATAAATATTAAAGTTAGAGATCGACATGGAAAAAACTGGTGACGACCAAAGTCTTGATATACTTCAATGCTCTGAAATTACCGCAGCCGTCGTCGTTCTTCTAAATTCGCATCGAAATAAAAAACAACACAAATTAACATCAGATGCCAGAAAAAAGAGGAAGTCGATGAAACCGCAAAACTAAGAAGATTCAAGTTTTCATCAAAATAATGCAGCAAGAAAGATTTTTCTGTCAGGACGAAAAAAATCGATTTTTATGTCTTCCTACATTTTTTATGAAACTGCTGTTCTGTTGTTGTTTGTTGTAGATGTAAACGGCAGAGTGTATAAAACACACTTGAACCCTCTTTTACGACTCAGGGGTTGAAAAAGTTGCCGATGAGATGGAAACCATTAAAGATACTGATACATTCTAGGCAAAGAATAAAAGTCTAAGAATGAAACTTTGACGCAAATGAAAAAAGTTTTTGTTGGCTTTTGAGGTGCGAATAACTTTACTCAAATTTATTGAATTTGAAAAGTTTTGACTGAATAATTGATGAATTTCATCAACAAGTTTATTTTATAGCAATTATTTAAAGTTTCACACCACGTTTGACATCATCATAACAAAATTCTGAAAGCTTTCACAATTAAATTCTTAATGAGATTTAGTACCAAGATGCGAATAAATTTTATGGAAAAACTTCATACAGAACAAAACCATAGAAAGCTGGCAAATACATGAGCAATAATTCTAAGAAAGTTTTAATGATTTCTGTAATAATTTTTCTGATTTCCAATATCATGGATCATTAAATGAATATCTTCCAGAATAAATGAAAGAAATAAAAGAAAAGAAATATTAAAGTTTAGTGTATTTATTGTGAAGCAGATTATTTTCCTATTTACATAAACAGCAAAGTTATGTTAGTTGCAAAATTATGAAAAAATAATGTTCTTGCTTATTATGACTCATTGAAGTTTATTGTTTTTCTATTTGCAGAATTATGTTCGTGAATCAACATGAATCAACAGTTTGAGAGAGAATCAAAGTTGGAAGAGAGCGAATGCTAAAGCTTTCGAACATCTCGTCATGCTCTCTTGATTCACTCACATCTCTCATCATTCGCGGAGTGACTACCAAGATGTAAAGAACGTTTTCTGGTGTGTTGAAATAATTTTTTAATAAAACAGAACAAAAGTGTTTAAATTTGAATTAAAGTTAGTAAAAAAATAAATTCAATAAATTAGAATAATTTAAATATAAATAATTGATGAAATTGAAGTGAAATATTAAGTGAGAAAGTCAAAATTTAGATTATAACTTCTGCATTTGATACATAAAAGGTAAAAAGCCAACAGCAAGGTGTTTCATTGTGTTGAGAAAATTATAGATCCAAGAGATATCGCAGAAGAAAGAAAGAAAAAAAAGTTGTATAAAAATTAAAAGAATGAAATAAGATCAAGGAAAGGTAGAAAAATATCTCTTGAGTGTGTTAGTGTTGAAATATAAATTCTTTACTTGTTCACATAACCAGCGACATTGTATAACATTTTTGGATTACATTATTCCGAGGAATTCATTGGATTAACACTTGCAATTAACTAGAGAACTGGTAAGAAGTTGTTGTTATCTTCATCTTGTAATTGTGCAAAGACTTTTAACGATATGTTCATAAAAAATAATTTCCTTCAATTATTTAATCTCTTTCATACAATTTTCATTGTTTAAATATTCGACTCGGTGCAGTTTGTGAAACATAATACGGGGGTGAAGAATTTACTATCGTCGACAAACACAAATAAAATTTTCATTCATTTTACGGTTACATAGAAAAGCATCAAAAACGTGAACATGTTGCAAGAGGAAAGAGAACAGGGAAGAAAAATTTACAAACATTTTCGCCGGCAACCGAAATCCTCAGTCAGTACTGAATACAAACCGGGGGTGGAAAATCAATATTTGTTGTTGTGGTGAGTCATTCGAGTCAGTCGTCGGCTTTTCTTAACATTTCCTCACCCAACACACAATCACGCAAATCGTCTCGATTCCAAAGAAATTAATTACTCAATCCTTTTTCCTTTGTTATTTTATGATATGCGAGTTTTTAATTATGATAAGAATCTAACATTCCTTGTCACGAAAGGAAAATTGCTAACCATTTGATTAGATATACGAAATCGTCAAGCATAAGAAGCCACCAAGAATGAAAATGTCAAAAAATGTTTTGACGTTCATGCTATGAGGCAATTAATGAAATGTTAACCTGCTTAATTATTCACAACTTAGCTTGACTCGTCGTCGTCTTCGTCGTCTTGTTATAATCTTTCACGTTGAAACGATGATTAATGAGTTTCAATGTTTTAAGTACATAAGCGTATTAGATTCTTCTAAGTTTATTTAACTTGCAATCTTGATTATTAAAATTCCAAAACTTTCAATTTTCACTTCCAAGAATCTTAAAGTAACTTTATCGTTGAAATAAGAACATTAAAAATGCATCATGTCTTCTTACACTTCACTCTTCTCATCTACCTTTTGCGCCATTTACGGCATTCAATTAATAACAGTTTCTCTCATTCTTACTTACTTCTTCATAAAACGATTATCATAATTTTGTGCTGGTCTCGAGTACTTTGATGGATTTTGCGGCCGAAGTAAAAAAACCGGTTCTACTTAAGTTTCGTACGTTAACTCTGCTTATTCCTTCTCTCACTCTTTCTTATTTATTTTCTATCTCATTGTTTTTCAACATGTTATGCTCGTAGCCTTTAAGTTCATTTAAGTTTAATGGTAGTAAATATATCGCGCAACTATATTTTTCAAATCAATAGCGCTTTTGAAATTTAAGGTAAGCGTATGTCAATAAAATTAAATAACTAAACAGCTTTTAACAAGATTGAAACCAGAATGATTAGAATTCAGGTTCCGTAAAAGTTGAGCAATTTCTAAACGTTTTTCCAACTAGGTATTTTCATTAAATTTTGTTCATTTTAGTTTCAAATAAAATATTTAAATTCAATCGCATTTATGACGCTTTAAATATTTATAAATAAATTTGAGAAGTCGACAAGATGAACAAGCTGAAAAGTGCTTTCCATTAAATAGCTTCATGGATGTGTGGTTTTGGTGTGAAAATGTTTCATGTTTCAAATCTTTCCAGAAGTGTTGAGCTGAAACTGAAAGGAAAAATGCAAAGACCAGAAAATTTAACAAAGTAATTTTTCTTTCGTTTCTTCTGTTTGCGGAAATGAACTGAAAAGAAGAAGTTAAATAAGCTGGCTGCCGCAAATTGAAATAAAGATGCTTCTTTTAAACGCCAGAAAATAAATTAGCAGATTTAAAAGCGTCTTCGAAGAAACGATAAATGGAACAACACAGCAGAAAGATAATAAATGGAATCATTTTGTCTCGAATGTTAAATTTTCCTTTTATCACCTGTTACAGCACAAAAATTCCTTTTAAAGTATTTTAATACTCATATTTCTTGTCAAAGTGGTTCATAAAACGTTAGCAAGATACTTTTATGGGAAATATATTTTGCTTTATACACTTAAATATACTAAAATTTTCTCATTTTTTAAGCAAAATATAAACATTAGGTGTTCATCTAAATTTTAGATGTTTATTTTATCACACTTACGTTCGTCAACGTTAGAAAAAAGTTCCAAGACAAATTTCTCGTTGAAATCATATCATTCATTCTGCAAACACAAAACCCTTAACATTTCTATAGAATTCTCAAACATAAATTGTCGTTAAGATAAGATTCAATGAAAAAATTATTTATTTATCTCTCTGAGAATATTGCAAGAATATGAAAAGTTAAAAAGAGTTTTAGACCCACAAATTTTCTTTTAACAAAAGTGACAAATCTTCTTCAATCAAATCATGCCACATAACGACGGTTTAGGAATCCCTTCGTTATATTTTCAATTCTATTCTTTTCTGCTGACAATATTTACACCCACATGCATGAAGGAAGAAGAATTCACGAGAGAAAATGTATATTTTATGATACAAAAGTAGAACAATGTTTTATAGCATCGTTATATTAGCAAATTTGTATCTTTCTCCCTTGATAGATGTTGCTGTGGCGTATTTCAAAAGGACTAGAACTTTAAAAGTGTTGTAGGGGAAAACATTGTTGAATTTCCATCAAAATTAAAATGCTTCAAAAGACTACGAATGTGTTCATGGCTTTAAGATAAAATAAATAATTTAATCACTTCCAAAGGGGTTGAGATGGGTTATATGTAAATTGAATGGCAAACCAGACTAAAATTAAATTAAAACTTAATTAGAAATTTGCACAACGCGTTGCAACGTAAACATTTTGGAGCGACCTTTAAAATTGTCTGATTTAATCTTTTAACAGAATCTTCCCCGTCCTGTTAATTTATCGATAAAAATGATGAACATGAAGACCTTCTGTGTTTAACTGAATATTAAGTAATTAATGCATAATTGTTTAATAATAAAATATTCCCACCAGACTTCTCAATTCTCTCCATTTAATTCTTTTCCTTTGTGAGGCTTAATTACACTTTTGCCGGCTTTCCCAACAAAAATAAGAATAGAACATCAAAAGTTGAGTATAAATGGTTTCGCAACAACTTGAACTTAACTTTTTTTTGCATAATAATCATAAAACGTGTTTATTATTCTTAAACTTTCATTCACATTTTCTAACTTTAAACTTTCAATTACAGGTTTAGTGGAAATTGTTACGCTAAAATTGTTTTTGCAGACTCTTTTTCTTGTAAATCTTGTAAACTGACTTGACTTTTGCTTTAGAAATGTACAAAAGGTAACAGTTAGTGAGAGTAAATAGCTTCATCTATTGTTGACTCGAGCTCCACATCTCACAACTTCTTAGCTATTTGTTAGAGCAAAAAAAATACGTTTAGAAAGTCACAAGCTTAATATATTTGTTTGTTGAAAAGGTTGAAAAGCTTTTCTGTACATATTTTAAGCATAAAACGTTTTTTTTTGAACAGAGTTAAATATTCAATTTCCAAGCAATGAAAGCATAAAATGAATGAAATCAAATTCAATCAAAAAAATCAACGGAGAAATGTTTTTTGTTGTCTTTTATTTTAAAATGTAAGAGAGAAATTTAAAGGAACCGTGAAGAGTTTTGAATAAATTTTAAACAAAAGAAAAAAAAAACTCTAATGCAATCTAACAGTTTCCTAATTTATAATATGAAACAGCAAAAATATATTCCATGATTGTAGCATTAAAATACGTAAATTATTTATGTTGTAGAATGATTGCCGCAGCAGTTAATATTAGTGAACGACTGAAAGTATTAACGACACACCAAAGTTCGCTGTCTTATCAATTCCCAGTCATGCTTTATCTGAATTAATGCTCGTAAAATAAAATCATTAATATAAACAGTGGCAGAAATTGGTTTACGGTTTTTGCCAGTCATGTGGCATTTCAATTCAAATCATAGTCATGATAATGACTTTATGATCTGATCTCTTATTTAAAACATCATAGGCTCTGACAAATTGGATTTTTACTTCGCATTTAAAACCGAGGGTAGAGAATTATCTTTTCGATATTCGTAGTCAGTCATTCATTCATTGTTGTAGTAATAAGCACTTAACAACAAAAACAACAATACTGCATCTTCAACCCTCTTTTAAGACTCACGATAAAATTGCTCACACGACTCCCTTTTATATGTCACGCACTACTACAATTGCGACGATTCCTTCATCCGAGAACTTTAAACATTTCCCTTAGAACTCAAAAAGAGAGCTCAGCATAATAAATTTTTAAACTTATAATTTATGCTGTTTCATTAATTTTCACGAGGGAAGTTTTCTAGTTTACATAATCACGTTCGAATGGATCGTTGAAGTCTCATTTTTGAACGATAGACATTTTTTGCTGTTGGAAAACATTTTGATGTTTATGAAGGTCGTAGAAGAAACAACTTTTTGGACAATATACGAAAAAAGGCGAAAGAAATTCCTTCCCAACCTTCAAGGACCATTTACAATTGAATTTAATTTTAATTTACGTTTTTGTGGTTGATGGACCTTTTTTAAAGGGAAATCTTCGAAAGTAATGTTGAAGAAAGGAATTTCATGTGTAAAGCAAATAGAAAATTTAATATTTTAAATCTGTCAAGTTCTAATCCTCTCAATTTCCCTAAAGCTTCGAATGGTCAACGTAAAATTATTTCTGTTAATGACTTTTTGATGTGTCGTTTTCTACATCACAAAGCAGATGATGATGGCGATTTAATTAAAAATGTTTGCGATAAAAATGTCGTTTTTCCTTCTTGGAAAATTTAAGATGAAAAAGGAGAACACGAATGAAGTCAAATGCCAGTATCGAATGCGATTTCGAGAGGAAAATGTAAGAAGAAAACTTCAACATTTCGAACTATTTTCTTGAGAAATTTCTATTGAAATTCCTTTTAATATCCTCAAAGTCTCGGAACATTTTTATCATTTCAATCTTAAACGTTGTTGCATGGAAGAATTGAAGAAAAGAAAGAGAGAAAAGTAGATAAAATATACGACATCAGATCAACTTTTATCCCAGGAATTTTTCTTCCTTCGAAAGAGGATTTTAAAGATGACAGATAATAAATTAATTTCACAGGAAAATTCCTTCTTCGAGACATATGAAAGTCGAAATTGTTTCTTGGGTTGTGAATTAAGTATGAAAAAGGAGTTGACAAGATTTCAGGAAGCTTTTCTGGCTTTTCCTGTTGTGAGCATTGAAAATAAAAGCTTGCAAAATAATTATACAAATTTTTCATCTTAGTTAATTTTTTCAATTTTTCTTCTTACAGAAATTATTAAATCGAATTACGGCATCATGGCTGGTTATAAATAAGTTTAGTAAGTGATGAGCGAAGAAAGTCTGCAGAGTCATTCAACAGACATTAAATTAAATTGAAAGTTGATAAGGCCACGGATGCATCACCGTCAAGCATCAGACACAGCAACATATTCAAAATGCCGGACAAGAAGTTTCGTTCTGGCAACGGGCCAATAAAGTTGTCCAATTTATTTTCAATGATAATTTTATTATCATTCTTCATTCATTTTACCTCCAGCTATTTGGTTGTTGTCGATGAGAAAACGCCTGCCAACACAATCATTTTCAATGCGTCGGTAAATAAATTGGGATCTGAACGACACTACAAAATAAATGTTCATAAAACAGCTGAATTTGTGCACAAGCTGCTGCACATCGATCCAAAAGATGGACAAATTAAATTACGAAAACAACTTCATTGTGATGGAATTTTCTATCCAAATTTATTTACGCTCTACATCGATAGCATTTCGAATCATTTACGAAGCGTGAATTATTACAGTCCGCCATTGAGAGTTTTCATAAATGGTGAACATTGCAATGACGAGTACAATCATGAAATTTTTGATCGTCACTTTGAGGACGAAGAGTCCAATTTATTACTTCGAAGAAGAAGAAGCTCAGATGATGATGATATTGCGAGAATATACGGAGAATATCGAGGGAACAATTTAAACGATTACATTCGAGAGTTTCCATTTATTTTTCCACGCAATGAAAGCCATACCGACTACAATAATTTTCAAGAAGGCGACATTTTGTTCGACTCAATGGAACATAATTTACGTCGGCACGAAATTCTTAACAGGAAAAAGCGTCACACTTTAAGGTCATTACATGGAGATAAATTTCATCGAAAGATTGCCGACGCTAAGCAGTGGATTTCTGAAACTCACGCCTCCTACGCCATTCATTCGTCTGACCAGTGGGACAAGATTTGTCTTAAGAAATCTCAACTTGTTAACAACATAAATGCTTTTCTCCCGAGATCCATTCAACAATTTTGTAAAGTCACTTATCTTGATGTGAGTGACGAAAGATTTAAGATTGAAAGGAAGCAAGGTGACTTGGTAGTTAGTCGCGATGTTTGTATTTATGAACCATCGTGGACAGTTACAATAACATTTTCAACAAAATGCAATCGTGCTGAGTTTATTGATGCTGAACATCGTCTTAAGATCATGTATCATCATCAAGAGTTGAACGATACTGACATAGCAAAAAGAGTTAAACGGCAGCTTAAAAATCAAAGCCCACATTTTGAGCTTTCACTTTATGTCGCTTCAGTTCTTGAAGAACAACCGCCAGGTCTGAAAGTGACAACAGTTCAAGCACGAGATCCTGAAGATTCACCAGTTGTCTATTCAATGATTTCACCATCAGATGCACGTTCACAAAATATGTTTAAGATTGATTCACGTTCTGGTGTCATCACAACTTCGGCTTCATTAGATCGTGAACAAATCAACATGCACTACTTTCGTGTGATTGCAACCGACGACAGTTTTCCACCACGTTCAGGTACAACAATTCTTCAAATCAATGTGTTAGATTGCAATGATCATGCACCAAAATTTGAAACGGAACAATTTGACACGACAGTCAGTGAAGGAGTTGGAGTTGGAAGTCAAGTGTTGACACTTCGTGCAACTGATCTTGATAGTGGTAAAAATGCTGAAATTGAATATCACATTGAACAAATCACGAGTGAAGGGAACTTGTCAACCCCTGAAAAAGATTCACAGACATTTAAGATTGATGGACGAACTGGTGTTATCACCACAAGAAGTCAACTTGATAGAGAAACTTCAGAAGGTTACACAATCATCATAACAGCAAATGACTTGTCGGCACCTATAACAGAACGTAAAACTGCAACTGCTACTGTTGTTGTTAAGATATCTGATGAGAACGATCATTACCCTCAATTCAGTGAACGATATTATTCAGTTGATGTAGCTGAAGATGAATGGGGTGGCAGCAATACAATTGCACATATCAAAGCAAGTGATGCTGATAAAGGGAATAACGCGGCAATTCGTTTCTCAATTGTTGGTGGAAATCCAAAGTCTGAGTTTGCAATTGATTCGATGAGTGGTGAAGTGTCACTGACAAAGCCACTCGACTATGAAGCAATGAAAGCTTATCGACTTGTGATAAGAGCACAAGATGGTGGAACACCACCAAAGACGAACACAACAACACTCTCGGTTAATGTCATCGATGCTAATGACAATGCACCGCGATTTTACTCAACACAAATACAAGAAACTGTGCTTGAGAGTGTCTCAGTTGGTCACAACATTGTAAGAGTTCAAGCTTATGATGGCGATGAAGGTGCAAATGCTGAAATCACTTACAGTATTACTGACCGTGATCTTAACTTTCCCTTTGCTGTCGATTCAAGAACTGGACAAATTCATACAACAAAGCCATTGGATCGTGAAGAGAAACATCGATATTCGTTCCAGGTTGTTGCTGTTGATGGCGGAATTCCACCAAAGTCTGGCAGCACAACAATTCAAATCACTGTTCAAGATGTGAATGATAATAATCCAATGTTTAATCCAAAATATTATGAAGCAATAATTGGTGAAGATCAAAAGCCTGGAACACCAGTTGTTACTGTCACAGCATCAGATCCTGATGAAGATTCTCGTCTACATTACGATATAAAATCGGGAAATTTAAGAAACAGATTTTCAATCTCAACACAAAATGGTTTAGGATTAATAACAATTGCACAGCCATTAGATTATAAACAAGAGAAAAGATTTATTTTGACTGTAACTGCAACCGATTCAGGTGGAAAAATTGACACAGCAACAGTTAACATCAACATAACAGATGCAAATAATTTTGCGCCTGTTTTTGAGAATGCGCCATATTCAGCTTCTGTTTTTGAAGATGCACCGATTGGTACGACAGTTCTTATTGTCACTGCAACAGATGCTGATGTTGGGATTAATGCACAAATCACGTACAAAATGACAAACGATGATTCATCATCTGGAATGAGTGCAGCGGAAGTTTTTTCTATCAATCCACAAACTGGTGCAATTATTACGAAAACCACTTTAGATCGTGAGACGACAAGCGGATATTCATTGACTGTGACAGCGAAAGATGGTGGAAATCCATCACATAGTGAAACGACAATTGTTGAGATTGGTGTGACTGATGTCAATGATAACAAGCCAGTTTTTAATGTTCCAATGTATCACGCAACAATTCCTGAAGATGCACTAATTGGAACGTCAGTCATTCAAATATCAGCAACTGACAATGACGAAGAAGAAAATAGGATAATTAGATATATGTTGAGTGATAAAGATGTCAAAGACGCTTCATTTACTATTGATTCAGCATCGGGTGTCATTAGAACAAATCGAGGATTGGATCGTGAAAGTACTGCTGTTTATCATCTCAATGCGATTGCGATTGATAAAGGAACGCCACCATTAAGCTCCACAGTTCAAGTTCAAGTGAAATTGGAAGATGTTAATGACTCTCCACCAACATTTCCATCTGATCGAATGACTTTCTACATCAAAGAAAATTCTTTGATTGGATCTACTGTTGGAATAATTAAAGCTGATGATCCGGATGAAGGTGTCAATGCTGAAGTTCATTACACGATTCTAAGTGGACTAGATGCAGGCTCTTTTCATTTGGTAACAAAACCTGGTGTTAATGGAGCAAAAATTGTCACTAAAATCGAACTCGATTATGAATCGTCGCAAAAGAAATTCGAGCTTGTCATACGGGCGTCTTCTCCACCGTTAAGAAATGATGTTCATGTTGAAATTCTAGTAACAGACACAAACGATAATCAACCAGTTTTAAAGAATTTTCTTGTTATTTTCAATAACTTCCGTGATCATTTTCCAAGTGGAGTGATTGGACGAATACCAGCGTTTGATGCTGATGTTAATGACAATTTAACTTATCGCATTCTTTCTGGCAACAATGCAAATCTCATAAAATTAAATTCATCAAGTGGTGGTATCACTTTAAGTCCGCAACTAAACACAAATGTCCCAAAATTCGCCACAATGGAAGTGTCAGTAAGTGATGGGATTAATGAAGTTAAAGCGACAATGCAACTCTTTGTTCGTCTTGTGACGGAAGATATGCTGTTCAACTCAGTCACGATTCGACTAAATGAAATGACAGCTGAAGCTTTTCTTTCACCTTTACTCAACTACTTTCTCGATGGTCTCGCAGCAGTTATTCCATGTCCACGAGAAAACATTTACTTGTTCTCAATTCAGGAAGATACCGACGTCGTTTCTCGTGTACTCAACATAAGTTTCTCAGCACGACGTCCAGATGTCGCTCATGAAGAATTTTATTCAACTCAATTCCTTCAAGAACGAGTTTATCTTAATCGTGCGATTCTTGCACGTCTCGCTAATGTTGAAGTGTTACCATTTGACGACAATATTTGTGTACGTGAACCATGCTTGAACTATGAACAATGTCAATCAGTGTTGAAATTTGGCAATGCTTCCGGTTTCATACATAGTGACACGGTTCTCTTCAGACCAATTTATCCCGTCAACACATTCGCTTGTAAATGTCCAGAAGGATTCACAGGAAGTAAAATACATTATTTATGTGACACTGAAGTTGATCTTTGTTATTCAGATCCGTGTCAGAATGGCGGCATTTGTAAACGGAAAGAAAACGGCTACACATGTTTATGTAGTGAAAAGTTCACAGGAATGAATTGTGAGAAGGAATTAAAAACGTCGCTGTCATGTATCAACGAAATTTGTGAGAGTGGATATTCCTGTTCAAGTGATATTTATAATCTTCCATTTACAAACACTTGCGAATTAAAAGCTCGATCATTTTCACACAATTCTTTTCTCACATTTGACAGCATAAAACAACGACATCGATTCAACATCAAGTTGAAATTTGCAACAATCAATGATAATGGTTTGTTATTATACAATGGACGATATAACGATCTTCATGACTTTATAGCACTCGAACTTATTGATGGTCGTGCAACTTTCTCATTCTCACTTGGTGATAAGATTCAGAAAGTGTTTGTAGCTCGAAAACGAAAGTTGTCCGATGGTGAATGGCACAGTATTGAAGTGATTTACTTTAACCGAACAGCAACACTTGTCGTTGATGAATGTGATGTTGCTTTGGCATTGAGTGGCAATCTTGGTGATAATTGGAACTGCGCGAATCAAACGAAACTGGAACTAGCAAAGAAATGTTCATCAATAACTGAAAATTGTCACCGATATTTGGATCTGACTGGTCCACTTCAAGTTGGTGGACTTCCAAAGATACCAGCACATTTTCAAATTCAATCACAAGATTTCGTTGGTTGCATTTCAGATCTTGAAATCGACTACAAGTTGATCGATATGAACTCATATGTCGCTGACAATGGAACAGTTTCTGGTTGTCCTGAGAAACGTTCATCTTGCAGTACAAACAGTCCTTGTTTCAACGGCGCTTCTTGTCACGATGGCTGGAACTCCTTCACATGCAAATGTCGTGACAATTACACAGGAAATGTCTGCCAAGATGATAAAACATCTTCCTGGAGATTCTCTGGAGATGGATTTGTTACCTTTAATCCATTACTGAAAACAATTCAATTACCATGGTTAAATGCACTTTCAATCAGAACACGACAACGTGACACATTCCTGATGCAAATTCAAATTGGACAAAATAGTTCAGCAATTGTGAGTCTTGTAAACGGCATTCTTCATTATTCTTTCGATTCGGAAGTCTTGTATTTACCTGGAAGCTTTCTAAGTGATGGTGAATGGCATCGAATTGAAATCAAATGGCTTGGAACTGATATTTCACTTTCACTTGATTATGGCCAACGTGAAACGATGCTTACCACATCACAAAAGATTCAAGGTTTATATGTAGGAAAAACTGTTATTGGTAGTCCCGACAAATCGATTGGAAACATCGCACAATATGAATATCTTGATGGATGTATTCAAGACATAAGAATAGGAACACAACAGTCGATAATGGATCGTCCAATGATGAAAGAAAATGTTCAGCCTGGATGTCCATCACACTCAGAATGCCCCAAAACATGTCCAATTCATTCACGATGTGAAATGTCATGGGATGAAGCGCATTGCGAATGTCTTCCTGGTTATGTTGGTCGAGATTGCGTACCAATATGCACTATCGGTCCTTGTGCTGATGCTGGTGTTTGTCGTGTTGATAACGAGTTGAAACGCGGCTATCATTGTGAATGTAACAGCACATTGTATTCGGGAGAATATTGTGAGATTGCCGTTCACCAGCCATGTCCAGGTGGGTGGTGGGGTGAAAAGAGTTGTGGACCATGCAAATGTAATGTCAAACAAGGATATCATGCCGATTGTAACAAACAAACTGGTAAATGTCGTTGTCGTGAGAATCATTATCAACCAGTCAATGAAACGGCTTGTCTACCATGCGATTGTTATACTGTCGGCTCGTTTAGTGGCGCATGCAATAAATTGACGGGACAATGTGAATGTCGTGATGGTGTCATTGGACGTCGTTGTGATTCATGTTCAAATCCTTATGCTGAAGTGACATTAGATGGATGTGAAGTTGTTTATGATGCATGTCCGAAAACATTTGCAGCTGGTGTTTGGTGGACAAGAACAAGTTTTGGACAAGCCGCTGTTGAAAATTGTCCATTACCAGCACGTGGAAAGGGAATTCGAACATGTGACGATTCATCAGGTGGTTGGGGAGTTCCAAATATGTTTAATTGCACATCAGAACCATTTTTGGAATTACGGAAACAATTGTCGTTAATGGAACAAGGAGAATTGCAACTAAACACTTTCGTGTCGGTAAAAATGGCTTCAGATCTTCAATTTGCAACAAACGCTGTTGGGAACAGTAAAAATGGAAGAATTAAAGAAGACGAGTACTCGGAATATTCACTTGAATCTTCATTTCTATCACGCAGTGCTTTTTGGAATGAAGACGTCGAACTTGAGTATTTGATTGAAGGGAAGAATGTGAATGCTGATCGCTTATATGGCGCTGATCTTCTCATTACTGAAGGCATTCTTCATGAGCTTATCGGCTACGAAATTATGCAAAGCGGCTTAAATCTCAGTCATAGTCAAGACAAAGATTACATTAGAAACTTGGTAGAGTCCGCAAGCATCATCTTAGATGAAAAATATATTCCCGAATGGAAGCGACTACGTGAGTTGACCACACGCGGTCCAAATGACTTAGTTGATGCATTCAATAAATATTTAGTTGTTCTTGCGCGATCACAGCATGACACATATACGAATCCGTTTGAAATAACTCACAGAAATATGGCATTGGGATTGGACATTGTAACAGTTGAATCGTTATTTGGTTATGAACCTTCACAATTACATCACAATAAAGCGCGTAACGGTAAAGCCAATCAATTTACAACAGAAAGTGTCATCATCCCTGACACTTCAGCTTTCCTTCAACATTCATCAAAGCAACGAATTCCAACGATTTCATTTCCAAAATATAATAACTTCATTCAAGATAAAAGCAAATTCGATCGACATTCGAAAGTTTTGATTCCTTTGGATATGCTCGGAATTATGCCACCAGAGAAAGATGAAATCTCACTCACGATTAAGAATTATCGAGCGATTGTTGGCTACACGCAATATAAAGATATTGGAAAACTTTTCCCCTTAACATTTGACGATACTGTCACAAGACGATGGGGCGTCGATGTTGAAATTGCCACGACTGTGTTGTCTTTAACAATTCTCGTGCCGAGTTACGGAAATTCTTTTGATAATGTTGTTAACAAACAAATGGAGAGAATGACAACAGATCAACATTTAGAGAATCGAATCGATAACGAGCCACCTTCATTGATGATGAATCCTGATGATATAAAAATCACTGTGCACGACATGACAGAACATGATGACTTCGATAAAGCAACGACAAATGATATTTTCAATCCGGAAGTTTCATCAGCGGAAGAAATTTTATCAAAGGCAGATGAATCGAATGAAGTGTTGGCTGAAGCTTTAAAGAAACATGTGAAACGTGAATTAGTGACAAGACAAGAAGAAGAAGAAGCAGAAGGCGAAGAAGAAATGGGAGGTGAGAAGGTGACTTATCGCTCTCTTGGCTCGCCCCATCTCTCACAACCAATTCGAGTGCAAATGTGGTTGAATATTGAGAAGTCACGATTCGGTCCTCGACTTAATCCACAATGTGTTCGATGGCACACGTTTAACAATCAATGGACAAGAATTGGTTGTCACACAGAAATGCCAGATTATGAGAAAGTTGTTGAGGACTCAAGTAGCTTAATTCTTATTAACTGCACCTGTACTCATGTCTCGAGTTTTGCTGTCGTCATTGATGTCATCGATCCCGAAGACATTCCCGATCCATCACTTCTAGTTCAAATCACTTCAATGTCAGCGTTTCTCGTGTCACTTCCAATCTTATTCTGTGTGATTATTGCATTGGCTTTATTGAGAGGAATGCAAACAAACAGCAACACAATTCATCAGAATCTCGTCTTTTGCATTTTCATCGCTGAACTTTTATTCTTTACTGCTTGGCATGCTCGAAGAAGTTTAATTGAAAATGACGTAAGTTGAACTGATTTTGTTACATCAAATGAAATTTAAATTAAATATTTGATTACAGTTTCCATGTAAATTGATTGCGATTGGTTTGCATTATTCGTGGTTGGCAGCATTTGCGTGGACGACTGTCGATTGCATTCATCTTTATCGAATGTTAACAGAAATGCGTGACATCAATCACGGACCAATGGGATTTTATTTTACAGTCGGTTATGGTGCACCAGCGATTCTTGTTGGACTCTCCGTTGGTGTTCGAGTTCATGAATATGGCAACAATATGTTGTAAGTGGAACATCATTAAACTTCTTTCAACTTTCTTTAAATTTTTGTTACTTTTTCAGCTGCTGGTTGTCAGTTTATGAAAGTGTCGTATGGTGGCTTGTTGGACCGATTGCAGCAATGTCAGCTGTTAATGTCATGGTTCTCTTTATCTCAGTTAAAGCCGCATTCACACTTAAAGATCATGTTCTTGGTTTTGGAAATCTGAGAACTTTATTGTGGTTGTCAGTAGTGTCACTTCCATTAATGGGCGTTATGTGGGTTCTCTCGATATTAGCAGCGTCTGAGAGTTCTGAAATCTTCAGTCTTGCGTTATCCGGTTGCGTTTTGGTTCATGCTTTCTTCTCAATCATCGGATATTGCATCATTAACAAGCGAGTGAGAGAAAATCTCAACAATACATTCCTTCGATGTTTGGGTCGAAAAGTTCCACTTCTTGATTCTTCGGTCGTTGTCAGCACCAGCACTTCGGGCAACCGAACGCCAGGGTTCAATGGAAACTACGACACAGCAAGAAGAAATATTGGAATAAGTGTGTCAAGTACAACATCGAGAAGCACTGCAAAGACAAGTTCCAGCCCTTATAGAAGTGACGGTCAACTTCGTCACACATCAACATCAACATCAAACTACAATAGTGATGTTCCGTCATTTATGAAGAATTATGAAGGAAAGAAGAAACGTCGACATCGAAAAGATTCTGATTCAGGATCTGAGACTGATGGAAGAAGTTTAGAGCTTGCTTCGAGTCATTCGAGTGATGATGAAGAGTCGAGAATTGGCAAAAGTAGTACAACTACAAACAATTCTCATCATCGAAATGCTGGTGTCAGTGTTGCTCCGTCTTATCTTCCAAACATCACTGAACATGTTGCACCACCAGAACTTCATGTTGTACAAAGCCCACAACTCTTTCCAAACTCCAAACCACCTTATGGTGGTCGTTGGTCAAGTCAAGCACCAGATTCTTTTCTGCCAACACCAAATGTTGGGCGATGGTCACAAGAAACTGGAAGTGACAATGAAATTCCTCACAAAACAAGTTCACCAAATCCACTGCCAAATCCTGATATCACCGATACTTCTTATGTGAATCAACATCAGAATAAGTTAAACATGCAACCACCTTCAATACTTGAAAACATTCAAGAAAATTATGGCGATATGGAACTTTATCGAAAAGATTACCATGATAACTATCAAAGCGATTACCAAACACAACTTCCTTTCCTCACGAATGTCATTGGAGAAAATGAATTTCCAATGAGTTACACAATTAATCATATGCGATCACATCATCCTGAAAATTCTTATCCAAATCTTTATGAGAAAAGTCGAACATTAGGATATCTTGGATCAAAAACTGGATCGCCATATATGAGTAAAGAAAGAATTGACTCATACAGTCCAAGTTTCTCAACATTTAAAAATGGAAACACAAATCTTCATGGAACAAATGGACACAGTGTTCAATCTTTATTAAGAAATGATTTCCAGGTGAGATTTATATAAAAATTTAATTATTAAAGAAAATTTACGAAATTCTTTTCATTTTAGTCAAGACACACTGATTACCATTCAGATAGAAACTCCGAAGGTTCGGACAAGAACGGTCCTTACAACTTCCCATACACTGCAGAAGAAGATCACTCGGCAATGCGTCAGCATATGCAAAGTCAATTCGCTAACGACATCAACAACCCTAGTCCAGTATTAATGAGTCGAATGTCATCACGACATGGATCGAGGACAAGTTCACCACCACATTCGTCTCATATAGCACCTTTGACAAGCATAACAGATTCAAGCGAGTAAGTTTTTAAATAATTTAAGAAATTTCATGTCAATGCGTTGGTTAACGTACGTCAACAATTAGTTTTCCTACGTTAAGTAACAAAACGTTGACATTGAAATTTAAAATTTTCCAAATCATCTCATAAATATGTTTTGTCTTCATAAAAATTCATAACATAACATTTTTCTTTTCTCTTCATCTTCCTTTTCATTAAAATTGAAAACATAAAATAATATTATATCGACTATGCAGATGGCTTATGAGCTGGCAGAAGAAGAATAAACGGCACAATGTCTAATTTCTGTAATTTCTTCTTATTCTCTTTTACTTTCGTTTGTGCAATTATTGAATTCACTTTGAATTTCACTCACTATAATCTGTTCGCATTGAAATAAACAGATCAGAGATGGAGGTAAATTAATCATCGAAATGATTTTCTATGTTGATTGAAAGCATTCGTGATTTTAATTTTGCAACAATTTTCTGTTAATAATTCCGCATGACAAACTTTATTTTTTGAATTTTTACAAACTAAATATTTATTTTCATGGAGTGTGAGTGTTCTTAGAGCTGACAGAACTTGTCAAGAATTTTACTTTTTATAATTTCATAAACAGCTTATTGCATGAAGAATGTTCTTGTGATTTTTCTCATAAAAGTTTTTATTAACTTTTCTTCTTTGTTCATTCTTTGTAGGAAGAATACAGATGCTGAAACAAGAGTTTGAAGATCGTCACATTTATTCACATGGATAATTTTTTGGAACAAGACCATTATGAGACCAGAAACAAGTCTTTGGTAACAAGAAATGACTGATTTTAAAGTAAATTAGCAATAGTTTTAGTGACTAAAGTCTCTACATGGCCATCACTGCGTTATGTCGAAGAATGAATTAAGATCTTTAAGACAAGAATACTTTTTTTGTACAAAATAAACTTTAATGAAGAAATGACTAGAAAATTATAGGAAATAATCGAAACATGAACATGAAAATGCATTTATTTTCTTTTTTTTACTTTTAAGAATTAAGAAATGATCTCATAATACTTAAGGTAAATAAATATTAATTTGCCTATAAATATAAAATAAGAAAACACACAAACTTAATGAAAAACAATTTCTTTCTTGAAGAAGATAAAAGAACAGATCCGTGTGCCTAAAAAAAAGAAAGAAAAATTTACAAACGTGAAGGACAAAAGTTCTTAAAAAATAAAAATTTTCGAGCTTCTTAGAAGAATTTTTTTCTCCCCTTTGTTGTTCTTAAATTGATCTGAATGCATTTTAATAATTTTAGTGATGTTTAAAGCTCGTTTTTAAGAGCTTTTTTAAAGATACTTAATAATTTTGTTCATGTTTAAATGAAAAAGCTTCTTTTCTCGTACTTAACTTAATTTCAATAGGAAAACTTTAAATAAAAATTCATTTAAATATGTTTATTAACAGCATTAAGATTCTTGTTTGCTGCAATTGTACTAAATATAATGAATATTTTCGTCTTTACATGTAAATACTTTCGAATTCTTTCGGAATCTAATTTATTAAATTGTACATTTTGCTGAGATAATTATTATAAGAGTTGAGAAAACATTGTAAACTGTATTCAATAAAGTATAAAATAATTTTAAATCTCTTTGATTTTAATGATTGAATTTATTTACAGCGCGTGTCAAAGAAAGGTTCGAGATGATTAAATTAATTAATAATACTGAAAACCCGCTGTCAAACTTAACAGAAGGTATTATTTGGAAATAAATTATGTTATTTGCTAAGAAATTGTCATTCTTTATTTCACTTCTTAAGTATTTCACATAAGAAACAAACCAGGGCTTTCACATATGTTTGAAGTTCGTTTTCTGTTTTATTTTATAAAGAAACAAATCTTTGTGTGATGTGAAGCACATGACATAAGTTCGCTACTTTATCATTAGATCATCAAACCTCAGCTAATGGAAAAAGTTGACAGTTTTAGTTTATCTTTTCCTCGGATATTAAATAAAGCTACGAAATTTCATTTCATTCATAGTGCTGTGAAAGTGAAGTTGTCCAGAATGATTGAACCGAAAGAAGTTTTTCAAACGTTAATAAAATTTGCAAAATATACTGGAATTTGGCAAATGCCACAAACATCATGGATTTATCGTGTTTATGGAGGAATTTTTATGTTTTTATTCGTATTTCTATTTCTTTTCTTTCAAGTTCTTTATCTTTTCCATTTTGAGAACCTTTCCGATTTTATAAATTGCATCAGCTTATTGTTCACTTATATCGCGCATAGCTCAAAAGCTCTGAATTTCATTTACAAAATGAAAAAGATTTTAAAACTTCTAAATAATCTCGAGAAAATAATATAGCTGAATGGGCCAGATATCAAAACTGAACGAAAACACATTAAAAGATTTACTAAAGAAGTGCGACTACTTCATGGAATTCTTCTCGTTTGTGCAATTTGTTCTGCCATTTCGGTGTCTTTGATTCCATTTTTTAATATTTCGAAACATGAGTTAAGTGTTAGAATGCATTTTCCTATGCTTGATTACAAGAATAACGACACAATTTTTATTACTATTGCTGTGTTGCAACTGACAATTGTGCTTGGGGCTATAGCTAACATAACATTGGATGTTTTTCCAATATATTTTATGTGTTATGCAATTGGACTTATTGAAGAACTTGGAGATCGACTTGAGAACATTGGAAGTAATCATGCAGTCATTGGTCATCAAGAAGAAAATGACGGCAATGATTTAAATGAACTTTTGAAATGTGTTGAAGTTCATCGTAAGATAAAACGACTCGTATCTGAAATTGAAGAACATTTCTCGTTTGTTATAATGTTGCAAGGATTGATGAGTTCGTTGATATTTTGTGCGACAGCTTTCATGCTTTCTTTGGTAAGTAGATCAACTTCAATTCTCAACATTATTGTATAATTTAAATATTTTTTTATTAGCTGTCACCAGTAAAAGATTTTCCATTATTTATTCGATTCGGCACATACGCGATTACGATGGTGATTCAGATATTTTTGCCGTGTTATTATGGAAACGAAATTGCAACTTCATCAATGAAACTTTCAACGCGATTTTTTCACTGTAAATGGAAGAAGCGCGATAAGAAGTTCAATCAAGCAATGATTTTCTTCATGGAAAATACTAAAAGAACGATCAATATCAGAGCTTTTGAATTAGTTGACTTGAACATTGAAACATTTAATGGCATTTCCAAGTTTGCTTATTCTTTGTTTGCATTAGTTTCAAGAGTCAATAATCGTGAATAGAATCGATATATAGATTTAAAAAACATTTGAATGATGATTAATAGTTAATGTGCGTTTGTTATCGTTTGAAATTAAAATGTTCAAATACTTCAACTTAACATAGTTTTGCATTCGACAAGAATAAAGTTTGAAAACCACTGCTTTAAATCTGCACCGTGAGTTGCTTCATAAAATATTCTGAAAATCTAACAGTTACAACCAAAAAAGAAAGATAAATTTGTAAAACTTTATTTATTGTAAGAATTCAACGAAAAAGATTTATTAATACATTTTTATGTTTCTAAGTAGCAAAAAGTGGTTTGTTCTAAACTGGAATCTACAAAATTATTTACAAAAAATTTTATAAAAATTTTATGCGCATTCATCTAAAAAGGCTTCATGAATTTCAAGCTACAGAAAATTCAGTAGATGAGTTCTTTTGTGTGTTTCGTTTCGTTGCCAAACCGACTTGCATAGATTTCTCCACAATAAGTTATTGCTCGATTTTCCTTTTCTTTTTCTCTTTCCTTTTCTTCCAACCAAAGTTTCTTCGATCTTTCAAATGCTTCAATGATGGAGCTTCGGAAAAGCTTCTGATGTAATACATAAGCAGACACATGACCAGCATTTAAATATCTTACTTCAGCTCCTGGCCAAATGTCTTCCAGATTTGAACAACCTTCACGAGGAACATAAGCATCATCTTTGGCACATACAGCAATAATCAAACTTGTGTCATATGGCACTGAAAAGTTCTTCAAATGTGTACATTCATCCATCATTCCACGCATGAACTGAAGCGATTCCTTCTCCCACCAATTAGTCTTTGATATATCAAGCTTTTGTCGTTTTGCAGGGACCGAAACTGAAAGTTTCTCTTCAGGCACCAAATAATTCATGAGCTTTGTTTTGGATAAATTATAAGCTGAAGAAATCACAGTTGATGACTCATTTGTTGACGTATCTGATTGAAGACAAGCTTTATCTGCAACAGATTTCTTGTCACCATTGTTAATTGTAAGCTTTGCTTGTTCTTCAACTATTTCATTTTTATTCTTATCTAAAGATTTATCTTTCTTTAAACGCTTCAAAGCAATTTTTATCTTCTCATTCAGTTCATTGATCTCTGACGCTGTCAATTCAATTCTTTGACCCGACAATAATTTGTTGAGCAATTCCTCAGATAAATTAAGTTTATTTGACTTTCCATTGATCTCCAAAAATTTCTTCTTGGCAATTTCCGGGTTTGTTTCGTTTATCACAGACAAATTTATTTTTTCCGCCTTCATTGTCAGTTGCTTCGTATCTTTGATATCTTCTTTCAACTCTTTCATTGACTGATTGAAATTTTGAATGAAAAGTTTACCAGCAATGAATGAATCATCGACTATTGTGACCATCTTTGAAAGTTTCTCACGATATTGTCCGTCGGCAAAATATTGCGTTTCTAAGACATCCCAACTAATGCTGTGACTCATGACACCTTCGGTGAATACTGACGAAGCAGTTGACCAGCTTAAACATGGCACAAGAACCAATGGCTTTGGATAGTTTGTTGCTGCTAATGACGCCATGTGACCTCCCATTGATAAGCCAGTAATACCTAATGGCCCAAATCCCATCTTTTCACACCAATTGAAAAGCACTAAAGATTCCAGTATCAAACATCCGCCCATGACAACGATATCTGAAACATTATGAAGAGAAGAAGCTCGTTGATCGGCTGGTTTTCTCATGCCATAAAATGGATTCTCGAGGATAATCGCACCAAGTCCAGCTTCTTTCATAAGTGGTCTTGCAATGAGATTTCGCCGTCTCCAGAAGTACTAAAAGAAAATTTCAATTTCAATTATTTTAGAAACTGAAATTGATAGGAAATTTACATGGTCACCAGTTCCAGCAAGATGAAGACATATTGGCTTGTAGTTTTCTTCTTGCCACTTATGAGGCAAAATCATTTGGAAATGAGCATCTTTAGCTTCTTCCGGAATAAGACCAGGAAGAAACAATTCGAGTGGCGTTAAGAACTTTCCTTCAATTATCTTGCAATCGGAAGTGTTTTCTTCCTTTGTTATCTCGATTGGATAATCTTTGGGGAGAAGCTTTGAGCATGTTTCTCGATTTGACATCACTTTTCGGAATTCAAAAAGTCTATAAAGAAAGTGTAGATCTAATTGAAAGAATTTTCATATATTTATAGAAAAGCGCGACAATAAATTTAGATCGTAACGAAAGTTGAATGTCATCGACACGAGCGTTCAAAACATTTTCTTCTTTTTCTTTTCGCACAAATATATTTGATCATACGATGGATGATGACGTCGAAATGAAACTTAAGAAGAAATTTTTCATTTTCTTATAAGTTTTAAGGAAATGAAACACAAAAATTTCACAAGTTGGGTATAAATAGCAAACGTGATAACTAACATGGAAACAAAGACAACTCTAGAATGTTTTTTTCATCTACATTTGCATTCTTTAAGTTTTTATTTTATACACAAACACCGGTTGGGTGACATAATCATCATCGAACGATCATCATTGTCATTGAATTAGCAACAAATTTCTTATTAAAATTCTTTCTCTTACCTTTGAAGGTTTTTTGGCTCACCCCATCCCTTAATAATCCAAATTAAAGAAGATTTTTAAATTTTTATGAAGCAGAAAAGAAGAATTAGGTCAAACTTGTGAATTATTTTTTATAAAGCTTTGCAAAATACCTTGCAGAAAAACTTTGCAAGCAAAAGGGAACGATAAACTGAATCCAGCTTAGATGGTGGCATTTTTTCTTCAAAAATAGAACTAATAAATTTAGTATAAAGGTTTTCTTTTTTTCGCAAATAAAATTTCACTTTCTATAATTTTTCTGTTTTGATTTCTTTGAATGTTGCAAAACAACAAACTTTATTGATTCGACTACTTCAAATTTAACTTTTAAACTCTCTTATCGTGAATTAAATGAATACTTTTTCTAATTATTCAACACTTTTTTAATTTTTTAATAAGACTTTTCTAGATTTCTTCTTTACAACTGAGCATTTTACTGTGAAAATGAACAATTTATACAAGATATTTGTATTTTGTTGTTTTTTTGATCGGCTGATGTCTCATTTTCTCTCCGCTCTCAACTCTCTCACTTTTCTCTCTCACGAAAATTTAATCCCAGCTTGAAAAAATCACTTAGTGAAGGAAATCTATGAAAGTTTCGTTATCACAAGCTGTTAGTTGTTTTGTTATGATATCTTATCATGTGAAGTGTTAGGAAACTAAATCACTTCAAAGTTTAGGTGTGATTAATGGTCACGTACTAAATATAACATCTTGCAATCTTCTCAACATTCCTTTGTTCTTCGGGCTTGTTTTGATGTTTTTTCCCGCAATTTTAGATATTAGAACGTAATATTTGATGAAGGCTCGCCTGATATTTTCCTAGAAAATCTTCGACGTCATTATTCGCGATAAAAATATTTTAGTTTGTTGTTTACAGTAAGAATTTTTTTTTATTATTTCACAAGTGTCAATTTTTATAAACATTGAAATTACGAGCTAAACAAATATACCTAATGTTTTAAACAATTGTGAATTCAATAATTTAATTCCAACGACTCTTCTTCTTCTTTGAAGAATCTTCTGATGTTGACTCATTTTTATTTGATGGTGGGGGCGGTGCAGGTTTTGAAAAAACTCCTTCAACTGGCGTTGTTTGCTCCCACGTCTTGTCAGTTGCAGACTTAAATTGAGATGTGTACTGTGACTTAAATGCATTTTTGAGAGCTTCTAAACGATTTGTTGGAGTACCCGAACTTCTATTTGAATCACTCGCAGGTACAAAAGATTTTGGGAAGGAAGAAGACCCACCTAAATTAGGGCGTTCTCGGAATCCAAGTCCGGCTCCACCACCAACACTTTTTCCTTTCCCACCTTTGAATCTTGACTTTCTAAACCAGGAACTTTGCATAGCCAACTCCATTAAGTCATCTGGAACATATTGATTAGCCATTTCAAGGTTTCTTACTAAATGTCCAACCATTTCTTTGTCTTTATCGCTAACTAATGTATAAGCAGTTCCCTTTTCACCGCCACGAGCTGTTCTTCCAATCCTATGAGTATGAGTATCGATGTCACGTGCCATATCATAATTTATAACATTTTTAATATGTGGGATGTCAAGACCGCGACTTGCAACATCAGTAGCGACTAAAATGTCGCATTCTTTCTTCTTAAAAGCTGTGATTACTTTATTTCTCTCAGCTTGTTCAATATCGCCATGAAGCAACAGACATGGATATTCTTTTAGTTTAATATCTGCTGCCAGCTTTTCAGCTTCCAATTTTTTTGTGGCAAAGATTAAAACAGAACCTTCTGAAAGAAGTTCAACAAGTTTTGTCATAAGCCAATTCCATTTGTGTTCTGGTTTTAAGAAGACGATGGCATGTTGGGTAATGTCCTGATTAGCTTCGCCAATATCTCCTTGAACGATTCGTACTGGGTCAGTGAGAACATCTCGAGCAAGTTTTTCAATTCGCTTCTTAAATGTTGCACTGAACAGCAATGTTTGACGTAATGGATTCACATGATTACAAATTGATCTGACTTGTGGTTCGAATCCCATGTTGAACATTTTGTCAGCTTCGTCGAGCACGAGATAAGAACATCGAAGAAGATTTGTAGCTTTCATTTTAATCATGTCAATCATTCGACCAGGAGTTGCAACACAAATTTCTGCACCTTGTTCAAGTGCTTTGCATTGTTCATATTTGTTGCCACCACCATAACAACATACCACATGAATGTTATAAACCTTTCCAAACTTCTTTGCTTCATTGTAGATTTGAATGGATAACTCACGAGTGGGAGCCAAAATTAAACCAATTATGCCATCACCAGGTTTGAGTTGTGGTTGATCGAGAATGTGAACTATAAGAGGCCATAGAAAAGCAGCTGTTTTTCCACTTCCTGTTTTTGCAATACCGATAAGATCTCTGCCACTCAATGCTGTTGGAATTGCCTGAGCTTGAATAGGTGTCGGCTGAAATTGAAAATTTCTAAATGAAAATTCTCGTGAAATTTAAAATAAAAGAAAGTACTTACCGAAACATATTCACTTTTTCTTATAGCTTTCATTAATTGGTCATCAAAACCAAAATGTGCAAAACTACAGACAGGTGCTGGTGCAGCAGCGCCAGTGACTTTAATTCCCAATTTATGACGCAATTCATCTTTCTGATTCTTTGTCAATTTTGCAATTTCTTCATGAATAACGTAAAAGTTTTTCTCAAAATGTTGATACTCAATTTCTGAATGATCAATAGACGGTAGAGGATCAATGAAGCGTTTCTTTGAAGGAGCAATCGGATTTCCATCTTCATCATATTCCAATTCATCTCCAGAATTTTCTTCAGTTACACCAGCCATTGGATTATCTTCCATATATTTGTAATAGCTTTCTTCATCGTCCATATCATCAATATCAGCTCGAACACCTTTATTTGAGGGTATCGATGTCGATGATGTCGGTAAAGATTCTTTCATTTGTTTCTCCTTCGATTCAGCTTTCTCTAAACCCGCCATAAAAGCATCTAAAGGATCTTCTTCATCTGAATCTGACTGTTGTTTTGTAGCAGGGGACCCTTCAGCAGGAATATACTCTAAATTCTCTTCAGTCGCATCGTCTTCATCGAAATATTCATCATCAGTCTGTAAAGCCGATCTCTTCTTACTTCCATAGTTTTGCGGTGGAATTACATATTGTGAAATCGCATCCATCGATGTATAAGAACTTTTTGCTTTAGATCCAGTGCTGCGTGATGTTGTTTGTAAAGCAGCAGGCGGTGGCACTGCACCATAATTTATTGATTTTTGTTGTGGTTGCTTATTATTAGATGAACCGTATGAAAACGGAGTGAAGTTAAAATTCCGGCTCATAGTTATTCTGACTTCAAAAAGCTAACATGCACATCAATTGAGTTGAAATCTAACGAATGTTGTTAAACAATTAGATAACGATTTTGATTGTTTTCAGTGCCTTGTGTGAAGTTTTTCTTTAATTTAAAAAATTTTGTTGAATGTAAACACAAGTTTCGAAAACTTTTCGAAATTCGAAATTACAGTTGCATCTCCATAATTCGAACTTCCATTGCTTAACGAACTGCCGGTGCATGCAACTTTATTATCATTGACATCAAAGAAGAAAATCCCTTCTTAAGATTTAATTTATTATTCTGTTTATTAGTCTTCAATTTCAAACATTTTCACAAAGATTTGTAATTTATCACAAAAGTTATCCGAGTTTAATTCATTTAAATAGAAATTCACTTGTTTAATTCAATTCCCATTTACCTAATTCTCGGCATTAATCTGATGTTTAAGGAATATTAAGCATTTGCTTGAAATAGGAAAGCACTTCTTGCGGCAATGTTTCTTCACTTCCAATAATAACACAAGTGAATTTCTCATAATCGATGGCTAATTCAAATTGAAGGAATTCTGTATCAATGAACGGTTCGATTGAATAATTCCACATTGTTTTAAGTTCTTCTAAGAGCTTATCATATTTCTCACTTTCATTAAGTTCGCCTGATGAAAGAATGTTTATTAAAGCATCAACGAAATCCTTTTCTGGAAGGTTCCGAAAGAATGCGTGGCGATCTTTAATTGTAGTCCCCATTTTATCTGCTTTGTTTTCTTTCTTCAATTGTAGGTATGATGTCACTTTTTGTCGAATGTTCTTATCAGCTTGGTCGGAATCATTAACAACAGTCAATTTTTTTTCCATGTCAGGATAAGACTAAAACAATAATTGATTTCTAATTAATCATTCTAATTAATCAGCTGATGATTTCTTACCTTTAAAAGTTCATCTAAGACTAGCTTTGCTGACAATTGTTTGGCCATTTTCTTACTTTTTGCCTCTGCTTGTTTTACAATTGAATTTAATTTACATTCAAAAATAAATGTTGGAGCATGTGATGCTCCATAAGTTGAAACACATCTAAATTCTGGCTTATGATAATTTCGTTGGGCGCAGTAGTCGTGTAAATCTGTTACAATGTTACTTCCAACACAAGGCGGAATGCTCACTGATTCATATTCAACGTCAACACATTCGTTATTTAACAATTTTTCAGCTGCCGAATGTTTTGCCATATTTTTGTTAATTCCACCTCCTGAAACATTTGTTTATGTAAAATTTTATGACAGACACAATCAAAATGAAATTAAAAACAAACCAATAGCTTCACGTCCAAGTGCAATACATTTAATGAAAAATGTTAAATTTGGTTGATCTTCATATTCTTCCGGTCTCAACGAAAGTTCAGTATAAATGGGAGGTTCTCTTGGATTCTACAAAACATAAAATATTTATTAAAATATAAGAAATTTTCAAATTTCACATTGTTTACCGTTTTTGCACAATATTCTTGCAAAATTGTGACTGGCGTTTTTGAACTGTTTATTGACATTTTGTATTTTTTATTAGGCGAGTTATATGAGTCCTTTTCAATCGAATGTTCAAAGATTTCTCTTGGAGAACTCATGTAAAATAGGTTTGCCTTTTTATTTATGGAAATGCTTATAAATTTATCATAACTTTATAAGAATAAAGAGGAAGAAATTTTGTGTCCGATTGTCATAAATTTTCGATGAATGTTGTAACAAGAAGCGCTTTTCAAACCATGTAAATGAAACTTCCAAAGTGACACAAACGTTCAAGTGACCCCAGAATAAAACCGAAAAAGTAACGCAAAAATCGTGCCGAATTAAAGTAAGAAATTTCATTGTTAAAATCAACAAAGTCACATCTTAAATCAACAATTCTTTTACCTATAATTTCACTGAATTCATTGAAACAATCAAAACTTGAGTAAAATGTCAATAAAGATCCAAAAAAGTTGAAAATATTCTACGGGGCTTGGGAGAGAAGAAAAATTAATGATCAGATTTTCACTTTAGTGTTTGATCGCGATTTTATTTAAAAATCAAATTACGCTTTTTGTAAGGTTCTTCTGACCTTTTTCATCGGCATCAAACTAACAAATTCGCGATTCCCACTGAGACATTCATTTTTAACAAGGAGAAAAATTGAAATACAATTTTCAAAGACCTCAAAAAAAAAAGTTTTAAGAAAACCAACAACAAAAAAAAGAAATATAGACAGCAACGAGGGATTTTATAATGTCCCATTCACCGATTAATTCACTGCTGGATCATGGATATGCATCACAGATGCAAATGCCGGTACAAAAGCGAGCATATCAAAGGATACCAGCTGCAGCAAAGCAGGAATCTGCACAAATTACAACATATTATCGCACCATAAAACGTCAATTACCACCAAGCAGTACAAATTCACCATCAGAACATCACATGCCAGCTTCATCGTCAAAGCAAAGTCCACCAACAAAAGTAGCAAGAAAAAGTAATCGGACATCAGTTTCACCTGCAAAATCAACAGCCAGCTCAAATGGAGGATTTTCTGGAAGTGGAAAGAAAGTTCATGGACGACATTCAATTGCCAGTTCGTCTTCATTTGACACAGGCTCTCGTTATGATACTTCGCTTGGACTGTTGACAAAAAAATTTGTGGATTTACTTGAAGCTACTGTTGATGGAATTATTGACTTAAACGTGGCAAGTGAGCAACTGAATGTTCAGAAACGAAGAATTTATGATGTTGTGAATGTGCTTGAAGGTATTGGAATACTTGAAAAGGTAAATTTACAATAAAATTTTGTTAGCATCGCATTTTATTTATTATTTAAATTAATCCTATTAATAGAAAGTAAAGAATATCATTCAATGGAAACGGGGAAGCAGTTTAAACAACCTTGATCGAATCTCGGCAATGCGCCATAATCTTGATGAACTAAAGGAAAATGAAAGACAATTAGACGATTTGATTGCAGGGATGAAAAGGCTTAGCAAGAAGCAGAATGAAAGTAAACAAGCATATGTAACGTGTCAAGATATTTACGACATCGATATGTACAATGAGCAGGTTATAATGGTTGTGAAAGCTCCGCCAGAGTCACAACTCATTCTTATGGACGGTGATCCTCCGCCACTTCTACTGAAGTCTGATAAGGACGAAATTGATATTTTCTTCTGTCCTGATCCAAGTACTGGAGGCTTACAAGCAGCTATTGCTGCATCAGATTCCGATGACGAAGAGCCATCAACATCAACGCGCCAACAACATAGAAAAGCTTCATCGGCGTCAACACAAAGACGAAGAAATGTTGGCTCGGCTCAGAGAAACTTGAGCAAAGCTTTCGAAGAGATGAATGAACCAAAGGTTGGAAAGTCAAAGAACAATCTTTATAATGCTTTCAATGCTACAGTTTTCCGTGAGTCTAGTGAAGACAGAATCACTTCCAATGAAGATGTTGAAGATGATGATGATGCCAGTAATCACTTAGAAGCCAGTTCTGTAACTACAAAGGACCTGATGTTACTTAACGACCAGTCGAATGATCTGGAGCCATCTTATGGTATAAAGAAAGACGTGAAGCTATCATTGGTAAGTCCACAAAAGGGTCTCCAATTTAACAGCACAAATTCATGGAGTGAAATGGCCGACATGGATAATTTATCACCAAACTTTCCATTTTCACATTCGGACGATCCCACCAGTGGCTTCTTTCCACTTGAACCTGATGTGGAATACAATTTTCTTCTTGATGACACAGAAGGGATCATGGATCTTTTCGACTTCAATAAGTAAACTTTTCTAGCCTGTCTTTCATCGCAATATATCTTTGGAGAGTCAATAATCTTATCATTTAGCAATCATTTTCCACAGAAAAGTACTAAACATTTCATACATAGTCTTCTCATATGCTCTTTGTTAATTTATTAGTTGGAATTCTTTCTTTCTTTCATTTCTTATAATTTTTTTGATAACTGAATTGATGGAAAATTTTATAATTTTCATTGGATGGAAAAATGTTGAAGATTATTTTTTTGTTTTTTTGCCGTTTGATTTTATGACATTACTTTTAATCTTATTAAATTGAAGGTTTTTACAAAGAAACTTCATTCTTGTCGTATGAAATTAGAAAATGTTTGAATCGTTCAAATGGTAAATTAGAAAAAAAGGATAAAAAATTAATAAAATCTTTGAACCATCAATCATTGCTATACCTATTATTGATGATTAGTTTAAAAAGTTGTTTAAACTGAATTTGCGAAAAATTAAATGAAAAAAACAAAAAGAGAAAAAAAATCTTTACAAATTTTACGATACGCTTAAGCAGTAATTGACGCAAAGTTTAAATATATTTAAAAGATGAAAAAACTTGATAATGACTAAGTATAAATTGAGGCCGAATGAATTCATGAAAGAATATTAAAAACTTTGACTTCAAAATCCCTTATATTCATTTATTATACTTCCGCCATACGAAATTTCATTTACTAATTAATTTAAGTTAAATAGTTATAAGCTAACTCCATCATGCCCTGTTATCTTCAATAGATTACATTTGCAAAATAATGTAATGTAATATTTTAAACAAAAATTGTAAAATCAACAATAGACAAAACAAAAAAAATGTAATTATTTTTATCACAAGAAATAAATTTTTAAGTGTGCAAATTAATATTAAAAACCTATTTCTTTTACCTTCCATGCATCAGACGATACATGAAGTCATGTAGATAAATTTCCCTCCATTTTTCCAGAAAAACATTCAAAATCAGGGAAGATGAATCAATTTTGTTTCTTGGCAGCAACACATGATTCTGTTTGAATGTGTTGGAAACGTTGATCTATGTAAAAACATCGTCGTATACTGTTTGATGTTTTGTGTCTCGAGTCAATCCTAAAACAATGCAGAGGGAAACATTGAAAATGAAAAACTTTGATTTTTCCTTAAAAACATTGGTTGCTGTGAAATCACAAAACATTGATTATTTTTAAAATAGATTTTTTATACAATTTAAAGGAAGTCGTACACCAACTGAGTACACAGATAGCTAATTTAGCTTAAAATAAAGCCAAACAAATGGAAATTTGCCTTGAAAACAGGGCTTGGAGCATTTCTTCAATGTTTCACAAAAAAACTCAACAACTGGGGGATACAAAGGGAAATTTGAAAAATACTATCTGGGGGATACCAAGGGGAGAAAAAACACCGTAACTTCAAAGCAAGTCGGATTCATGCTTGTTTTTCTTTCTAATCCTGAAATAATTTTGTTTCCACATGAACAGTAATGAAATATCTAACACAAAAATATATTCAAATGTTGCAAGTTTTTTTTTGGTTTCAAATTATTTTTTACATTAAAAAGTTTTCATTAAGTTGATTTGAATGATGATGACTGCTTATTAATTATTTAAAACAGTTTTATAATTGACAAATATCTAAGTAATTTCTTTTTAATTCGTTTACTGTTTTTGTGATTTTCAAGAACACGTTTCTCTTTTGATAACCTTGAGGAAAAGTCTTATTTATTTAAATTGATCAGCAGAATGAAGCAGGTTTCATCGTGGTTCATAAATTCAAACTTACGAAAGAAGATTTATGAACCTGTTTTGAATAATATTTGGTGATCACCAAAAACTTTATTGATTACAGTTGTAACTTTTACTCCTATTAAATCATTTTAATTAGGTGAATTGAATGTTCAAATTTACAAAAATAAATAAATGCTTTAAAATTTACAAAAATTGACATTTTAGTATTTGACTTCTTAAATGATCAGATAAAATAAATTTCAGTAAAAGAAAACGATAATTATGTATAATTAACAGGTTATGGAAAAGTTAATGACTCCTATATAACATTCAATAACACGTTGCATTCAGAATTGATACATTTTCATCTGAACTTAAATATATTCATATAAAACTAATTTATGCATAACTAATTTGAAATTCAAATCCTGCTGCTCGTGTAGCAATCTTTTAAAACTTTATTTAATTCGTTTTCGTAAGATCCTTTTCGGTTTCTTTAGTGATTCCATTGTGATGTAGTTTACCGTTCATTTCCTTACCAATCTGCAAGCACGTATAAAATAATAAAAAAGAGAAACTTTTACATCACAATTGCATAACTTACATTTGATGTCTTTTTGCTCATCACATTTTCATGCAACCTATAAGTGAATATGAAGAGTAATATGCCAATAACTGCAGTGATTAATAATGAGAAAGCTTCCGAATTATCATCGATTCCAAAAATCTTCATTTTATTCCTAAAATAGCAAAATTAAAAATTAATTTAATTGACTTTGCTTCCATGTGCATTCATAATATTAAAGTTATAAGATAAAACATTAAATTACGGAAAAAGAGACCAGATATGCTTGCCATGTGGAAGACAGGGGTGTAAAGGTCAGTTTTCATAAAAGTTTATCTGTGATCGCATAATATTCAAATTTGGATGTTAAACACCACCTGCAAACTTTTTAAAGTCGATATTGAAAACTTTACTGATATAGATATCTAGTTTTAGTCATAAACTTAAACTGCCTTTCATAACTGCTAACAACATGAAACCCTTTTTTTCGTCATAGGTTCGAAATATTTTCTTCTTTTTCGTGACTGCTGTTGCTTTGCATTTAAAATATGCGAAAAAGTGAAAATTACTAAATTTTCATTGTGGATGAACACATTTTATAAACTCGTTTCAAATGATATAATCTTCTTTCAATTTATTTTGTCATCGACGATAGAAAATGTCTGTATGTGTTTAAAATGTAGATATTACGATAACACTTTCGATGAAATATTAAAAATTTAACAATTTTCTTGATATATTTCGGGTGAAGTTCATCAAGTTTTTACACATGTGACATGTGGCGCGAATCCTCAATTTTTGGTTTTTGCTCATACTCTATTATAGAGTCATCATTATGAAATAATCTGTTTTTTATATTCGGCTATAGGTAATATACAAATTTTTAAGTTTTCAATCAAGTTTCTTTTGAAATTTTCATCATTTTATATTTTCATCACAAATTTCAGTTTATGAATGATTAGAATATTAATCAACAGCGCTCATTATCAACTCATTCATTTCTGCAAAGCAATATGAAAGAAAGAAAAAAGAAAATCAATTAAGAACCTACAAAAATCGGTTGCAATTTTAATTATGCCCAAAAATGTCAAATTTTAAAACAATTTTAACATCGGAAGTTATCAGGTCGAAAACCTGTAGAAACAGAAATGTTTATTTAATGCATACGTTGCAAGTATTTCACTTTTTTGGTAATGTTCTTTTTTTCTTTTTACAGTAATTCGTCAGAGCTTCACTTATTTATTGTTTCTTGTTCCATGACATATTTACTTAGATTAAATCCCTGCTAGCAGTTCGGTTATTTATTCATCACATTTATTCATTGTATAATTGTTGACTTTAACATTAAAAACAGTTTTAAGATTATGATAAAATATGTTTACTCCATGTGCAACATTAAAAAAAGTTTTAAGATTATGATAAAATATTTTTACTCCATGTGCTACCTGTTAGTTTCAAGCTTGATAAATTTTTATTTTAATTTTTGTATTTTTCACTGATGAAATATTTTTTTTTTATATTCCAAAGGAATCAGAAGTTACTTCTTTGCGGTATGAGTTTCAAAACTAAACTAAAAGCGTTCAAAATTTTTTATAAATCTACATTATTTTAAATCGAAAACCGGCTTTCCTTAGGTAGACACAGAAAAGAAACGAAAGAAAAATTTATTATGATGAGACAGTGAACCTGAAATCACAGTATAACTTTAAATTTTTAAATTAATTTTGGGCATCTTGAGCATAAATTTATACCTATATGTATCCACTTGCGTATATAAGTATGCATCAGCGAAACCATGACTTTCCACTTTGAATTTTAGAATTTGGAAATCGCGCGATTCACAACGTAAGAAACTTGTTTAGATGGTCATGACTATGTAGATTTTTCTTATCGTTTTTTGCAAAATATTTTGTAATTTATTATTTTTGTTTAGGTAAACTCCGAATTTTGTTTTTATTTCTTGTTTATGTCTCGTTGTCTCTAATGTCATTATGAAAAATATTCTGAACGAGCATTCAGATTGATGTCTGTGTAGACAACCTACTTACACGAAGATTTTTTTTGTTTGATAGTATGTTTGGCAAGTACTCAAACATAATGCAGAATTGTGTAAAATAAATTTTCAATTTCATTGAAACTCGGCATACGAATTGATATCTTAAGGATAATTATGCATTTTTAACATTAACCGACTTTTCAAATTCAAAACTTCCAATATTTTTCAAATTTCCAATCAATTCCATTGGAGAATGGAAAGTTTGTTTACAAAAATTAAAACAGAACGAATGAATGACTTTAAGAAACTTTTTAGAAAAATAAATTCTAGTCAAATAAAATGTTAAGAAATGTCAGTTTTCAAATTAAATACATTGAAGCTACTAAGTTTGTGCGTCATCATATCATTTATATTAATGTGTATAATTAATATTCTGCCATTTTCATTCGGTATGAATTTATTTTAATATTTTCTTTTATTTTCTTAATTGTAATCTTTTTCCCGAAGGTTCCTGTAAATGTGCTGATTGCACATCAACTATTTCATCTCGTAATGATGCCATTATTTCAAAATATTACGATTCTGTTGTAGAAAATACTTCTGGCAAGAAGAAATTAGCAATTATTGTCCCATTTAGAGATAGATTTGATGAATTACTCAAGTTTGTGCCTCATATGACGAAATTCCTAAATAATCAACAGATTCCTCATCACATTTTTATTATAAATCAAATTGATAGATTCAGATTTAATCGCGCATCTCTTATAAATGTTGGATTTCTATACACCAAAGAAAATTTCGATTACATTGCAATGCACGATGTTGATTTGTTGCCTTTGAATGAAAATCTTAAATATGATTATCCTATCGACGGCCCATTCCATATAGCAGCACCTGGTCTTCATCCAAAATACAATTATGTAAGAAAAAAAATTAATTTAACTTTAACGCATAAATAATTTTTGTGGTTTGTTTACAGCCAACGTTCATTGGCGGAATTCTTCTTTTGAAGAATGAACACTTCGAAATGGTAAACGGAATGTCGAACAAATATTGGGGATGGGGCTTAGAAGATGATGAATTCTATGTCCGTTTGAAAGATGTAAAATTAAAAGTTTACAGGCCTCAAAATATTTTGACAGGGTCATCAGATACTTTTAATCATATTCATGATCGAGCTCATCGTCGGAGAGACACAACAAAATGTTTTAATCAAAAGGAAGAAACAAGAAAACGTGACACCAAGACTGGACTTAACACAATTAAATATGAAATTAAGAATAGAAATGAACTCTCAATTGACGGAATTAAAGTCACAATCCTCAACGTTGATTTGAAATGTGATAAAAATTCAACTCCTTGGTGCGATTGCAGCAATCAAGAATCTTCAAAACCTATGCCAAGAAAAGGACTAAGAAAAAAGAAATAAAAATTCTAATCACAACTAACTTTGTTTTTTTTATTGATTACAACAAATTTCCTCTGATAGAAACTTTCTTTAATATTAGATAAAGATAATAAATAATTTAAGAATTTAAATTTGAAAACAATTTTTAAAACTTTTTCTTGATTTATTGCCAAAATTATAAAGAAATTCCATTAATTATAAAAAGAAGGAATTAAAATGAATGATTTACAACATACTACATAAGTATTCAGGTAACAGCATACATAACAACATAAAAATTAACGATCATGCTTCTTTTTCCCTCTTTTGGATTTCCTCAGCTTTGTCTGAAAACGAGAAAATCAAAAGAAAATGAATGAAAATTGTTGAATTTCTAAAGAAAAAGAAAAAGGAATGAAATAAGTGACAAAGTGAGTCATCGTGTCATTCCTAGAAAAGGAAGAAAGTGTAAAGTTGTGTTTTCCTTTGTGCAATGAAAAAGGAGAATAAAAAACAAGAAACAAATAAATTATGTACAAGTTATTTGTAAATAGAAAAAACGTCATCGTAAATTAATTTTATCAACACGAAGACTTGCAGATTAATTCAATAATAAATTTTGTCTGAGTACATGCAATGAAGGATAAATTGACGTAATTTATAAACAATTGAGAACATTCAGAAAGAGAGACAAAAATAAAAAATGACGCTATTCGTCCTTGCGATTTTCCACACGCGAATTTTCTCATGCATCGTAAAACCCAAAAAAAATGTGCTATGTGAGATTGAAAAGCTTTTATCGATAAAACATTTCCGATCATTAATTATATATATATCATCGATATGAGAGGAAAAAGGGAAGAAATATTATCCTAAGAGAAAGAGAAATTTAATATTTTCGTGTGTCTATAAGGATAAATTTTCTTTGTTTGCTAAGTAAATACTTGAACGATATAAAGTCTTATTTTTTTTTCGAGAAGTTAGGAAAGTTTTTTGATTTCCTTGCTTTCATGACCTTCCATTGGGATGCTTTGCAGATAATAAATCATCATTAGTCCTTTCTTCCCTCTTTTAACTGCGTCATAAAGTCTAATATTGTTAAACAGACACACATTTTTGTCATTCTAATAAAAAAAGTCATTTGGAGCTTTTCATCTTGTAATGTCAATTGACTAACGTTAATTAAAATCAAATATTTAAACGACATATTCTTTATCAGAAATCACTCGAATTCCATGTTCAGTGAAAACAAATTTTATCATTTCATTGTAAGTCTTTGGACTAAAACGTCCGTGACTTTTTTGTGTCGGTGCAGTTAAAGAATGTTCTGATGGAGAATCCGAAGGTTCTTCTTCTTCATCATCATTCTCATCATGCGCTTCATCTTCTTCACTGTTTGGTGCAAAATGATTTTCCAACTGTGCTGGTGACGTTGGTGATGGTGTCGGTGCATTATCACTTGTGCCGAAGTCGTCGTCAGGTGTATTAACAGGATTTGTGCTTTGATCATCTTCAGAATCACCCACCTTATCATTTGTTTCCTTTTCAGGATGAATTTGAACTGCTGAACCCGGTCGCGTTAATCGAACAGAAGAACTTCCATCATTTGTCGAACAACAAAAAACTTTCTGCAATGAATTTGCACTTGTGATGTAATCAACTGTTAAAGTTGACTTCAAAGGTGGCGGTGGTGGTGGAAAATCCGTTTCATCCATACTTTCGTAATCGTCGGCTGCAGGACTTTCATTCTTCTCATTCTGAATTCTCACATAACTGTCATTGAAAGTTGAACTTTCACTTTCAATTCCAGGTGATATCGGCGTTAAGATTATTGTACTGACTGATGTTGTATTTGATGGTGGTAAAATAAATTGACTATCCATCAATTTATTGTTAACATTTAATCCATTTATATTCAGTTTAAGCATGAGAAAGAGTGAGAGAGAAAGAAATTTCACAATTTTGCACATTTTATTTGACTTTTGTGATGATATCGATGGGAAAACTAATTTTTCATTACTTATTTAATGAATACTCACGTGTCATTAGTAGAGTTGCAATAGAGCGAATGTTTTTTTATATAATCGATCACAGAATCATCCAGAAGATATTTTACGGATAGTCCGCGAGCAATAAAACGACGAGCGAGTGTCGATGATACGTCATTGGCAATCCAATTGTTGACTATTACAATATTCCGGCGATATTTGCTCAGCAAGTCGGAATCAAAAATAAATTGTTCAGGATTGCTTCCATTTCGTGTGATTACAACAATTCCATGTTGACCAAGAATCGCTTCAAGCTGTTAAAATTAAAATTTCATTTTTCCTATTCATAAATGCAATTAAATGTGATTGGAACTAACGTCATCAGTTTTCCATAATCCTGGTGTTGCAAAAGACTCCAATAAATCAGCTCCACAAAGCAACTTGATCTGAACTGGTTCTTTATATTGTTTCACATTATACGGAATCCAACTGGGAAGATTGCTTGAATTCACTCCATTTAAGTCACGAATGATTGAGTTTAGGTAGTTTTGGTGATATTGAAGCGTATTTCGAGTGGGAGTCCATGCCTCTTGTTGACATTCCCACTCAGAGATTCTGATCCAAGATGAAGTTTCCAAAGCTAATTTTAACATTGCGAGTCTGTGAGTTTGTGAGACGAGCCCTTTTTTTCCGTAAGCATCATGAACTGGTGACACAATTCCACCTATGACCTCATGATTTCCTAGCTCAGAATAATAATCTTTGGCGATTTCTAATAATTCATAAGAGTTTAAAGATTAGTTTATTTCTTCAATATGAAAAATATTCAAAAGTTTTAACTTACCAAACATTCGAAAGTGCATTGGAGTTGGAGGACTGAATGATCCACACGCAATCAGCATTATTTTTGCTGCCATGTTTAGTGTGCTTCACTTTTCTCTATTTATCACTTAACAGTTTAAAGAATACTGAAGCTTTGCAATATTTTTTTGTAACTCATTTTCTTTCAGTGATGGTTGGAAAAAATCGGGAATGGGAACGCGTTTGCATTCCAATATTTTAAAAAGTTTGACAATCTTAGGTATTGGAAGTTTTAGAATTTGAATTCTAGAACAACGTTAATCTTTGTATGAATTATTTGTTATGCCAAGAAGTGAATTCAATCATAATCGAAATTTTAATTCATTCATGAGAATAGTTTCATTGATGCAATAAATAACAGTCTCTACTTCAAAGAAATTCGCACACGAATAAAATTTGAAATAAACAGACACAAGATTTCCAATTACTGGAAAGTGAGATTCTTGAATCCAAAACTCATTGGAATATTGTTGTGAAAATAAAATAAATTTTTGTCAATAGAGTTTTAAAATACCTATATTCTGAAATTTTAAATTAAATAACTTGACATTAGCCAGTGTGTGATATATTATGAACATCACAAAAGATGACTCAATCTACGTTTTTTTTCTTTCACTTGGTATCTTATTTGGTTACTTTTATAGAAACATAAAAGATGCGAGTTTAAAAAAAACTTTGGGCACTATTTTTGGTGTATCAATAATTCTCGTGACATCTCAACTGCACTCACTACATGTCTTTTTAAGTTTCTTGATCTGTTGTGGCATCATTAAATATAGTACAGAGTGTGTTAAATGATCATTCATTCTTCAAAAAAGCAGCTTTAACGATTCTGAATCATTTTAGGAAATGTCATCTGATTTGTTTTGGTTTCATGATGACTTATCTTCTATTCTTTCGCACAATCTCTTGGTTTGGACTTCCGAACCCACCAGGTCACACAAATATGATTCAAATGATTTTGACAATGAAAATAATCGGATTGGCATTCGAAAAAAACTCAGCTCTGACGAAAGCACATAAAATTGATAAGAACATTGACAATGAACTTGTTTTGACGGTTGTCGAAAATGAGATTCGTGATATTTCAGTTTTAAATATGTTTCACTACTGCTTCAACTATATTGGATTGTTAACAGGTTTGTAAACATTCATAAACATAGAAATGATGATAAACATTTTAATTAGGTATTTCATTTAGGTCCTTACTACACTTACAAAACATTCTTCGAATATTTTCATTATCCATTTGCTTTAAATGCTGATTGCTGGAAGATAACTTCAGAGAAGCTCAAATGGGTTCCTTTGTATATTGCTCTCTTCTTGGGATGTTCTTACATTTGGCCACTCGATTATGCGATGTCAGATGACTTCTATCAGAACCGTTCATGGCTTTATCGGCTTTTCTATATTTGGCCATCATTCTTCATCTTTCGCATGAGAATTTACAGTGGAATTGTTTTAGCAGAATGCATCTGTACAAATGCTGGTTTTGGAGCATATCCTAAAGAACTTGAATCCAAATGTGGCCATGGACCATCGAAACTCATTTCAAGCGAATTCTTAGAAAATCCTAAAAGTTGCGATTATGATTTTGAGACGATTGAAAACATTCACATTGCTGGTGTTGAAAAGTGTTTGACATTTCGTGAAGCAATGAAGCATTGGAATCGTTGTGTGCAATATTGGCTCGCAATTTATATCTACAAAAGATTTCCAAGTAAAAAGTATCGAATTATGGCAACAATGGCTGTTAGTGCTTATTGGCATGGCGTTCATGCCGGATATTATTTTTGTATCTTAGGTCCTATCATTTACCTTCCATTAGAAGATCTCTACACAAAAGTCTTTAATGTCGATAATACTTCAACATTTCGCTGTCATGCAACAAAAGCAATGTTTTGGCTTTTAAAATTCTTTGCTTTTAGTTATCTTGGCATAGCTTTTCTTCTTAAAGATGTGGACAAGATTTGGTTTTATTACAAGTCTGTTTATCATTTTGCTTACATTTTTTGGCCCTCATTTTATTTAATTTGTTTAATATTGTGGAAATATCAGAAACGTGACATGAAAAAACTTACCAAAGAAACTGAAGTCAATTTAAAAGAGATGCAAGAAGTCTCTAAAAAAATAAATTAATTTTAATTCTTATTAATCATCTAGAAAGAAATACTCAAAGATTGTATTTGAATAACGTTTGCCTCTGTCTCTTAGGCACAAAAAATCAAATTGATATTGAAATAAAAACATATTTATCTACATGATTAAAGATTTTTAATGTTCAATGTTCAATAAAAATGTTAGTTAAACTTTATTTTCCATTCTGATAATTGTTGACAGTAGAAAAGAATTACAAAATTGTACAACCTCGTCGTCTTGGCGGTTTTTGATTTTTCAATTGTTCATTTTTAAGTTTTTCTTCCAGCACTTGTCTCCAAGCTTTTTCAGCTTCTCTTTCGGCTTCTATCGCTTTAGCTCTTTCTTTTTCAGCTTCGAGTCTTGAATCCATTGCCTTTTTCTCAGCTTCATACTTTTCATTTTCAATCAGTTGAAGTTCCTTTTGACGTTCGAGTTCAGCTTGCTTCTCGCGTGTTATTCTTTCAGCTTCAAGTGCTTCTTGTTCTAAACGTAATTTTTCTTTCATTGCTTCTTCAGTTTTCTTCTTTTCTTCTTTCAATTGTTGGATTGACTTCAATGATCGATCTTTCCATTCATTATACGATTTCTCCATTTCTGCTTCAAGTTTCATTTTATATTTCCTCGCATGTTCAGCATTTCCCATTTTCTTCTCCTCTGAAAACATGATCAATGTTTTACTTTTACTCATCTCATGGAAAATGTGAAGATTATTCTCTTCAAGCAAATCTTGATTCTTCAATGCATTCAACTTGTAAGATTCCAAACATTTACTGATGAGAATATTCATTTGTTTGTCAATTGTCGACTCGTAAATTGATTGAGCTTGTGGTAAAGTGTCAGATTGGAAAAGAGTGAAATATGATTGAATATATTCCTTCACTTCAAATCCCTTCAAATCTTTACTGTTGATTTTCTTCAATATCAAATTTTCTGGTTTAAGAAGCTTCTCAATGATAACCACAAGTTCATCTTTAAATTCTTCATCCATCAATTTCCATTGTCCATCGTAATCTTTTTTTCTCGCAACATGTTTTCCTGGATAAGGCATCAAACAACAACTGTATTCGTCGAAAGAAACCGAAATAAATTGGCGAACAGATTTCAACTCAGGCTTTTGATCAGCTTTGATTTTTAAAACTTCTTTCAGATATTGCGCACCACCTTCAGTTCCAAATTCATATTCGTCGGGGTTTCCCCAATCCCTAATCAAGAAAAGAAGATTTTGAAATGGTTTTCCTGAACTTCCTTGATTATCTTGTGCAGCAAATTTTGCAAATTCTGTTGCAAATTGAAGATATTGCAGTTGATCTTCTTGAATAATCCCAACAAGGTTCAAAACTTGAACTGACGAGATTAAAGTTCCCAACGCAAAAATTCTTGAATTATCAGCTGGTGACGTTTCATTATCAAAAAGTCCTTGAGTGTCCATTATAGTGATTGCTATTTTTTCTCCAGTTGTTTTGACGGTGTGAAGGAATATGTCTGACCACATGATGATTCCCGTGGTATCTCGTTTTGTGCCCGATCTCCATGTGAAACCTTTAAGAGGTTCTTCAGGCAAACCAATCCAATCTTTATTAAATTGTGGGTCATTTTTCCGGCTTTCGATGGAAGAATACTATAAAAGTGAGACATTTAGAAGCATTTTACAATATTCTGATAGTTCATCTTACATTCGCATATAAAAACCGCAAGCAATAATCAAGAAAAAAACTTTTTCCCCTTCGGAAAGCTCCAATGATTGAGAAGACGACAATTTTACGATTCTTAACATCAGGATGAAGAAACGATTTTTCTAATGCTTCTTTATCAACAATTATTCTATTTCCTTCACCAAACTTTAAAATGTTGACAGGTTTACCGAACGGATGAGAATGACTTTGATTTGTAGTTGTCATTTTTGAAACAAAAAAGATATTTTCGTTAAGAGATTTCAAAATAAACTAAGCAAATTTTAAAAATTGAACTTGAATTTATATCAGATTAGATTTACCGCAAGTCCGCAAGCCATCAAGCTGGGGATCCCGAATGTCATAAATTTGTAAAATTAATTTAAGTTATCAGTAAAACCACACAAAACATTTGTAAAAAGAAATGAAAAAATTTGTTTATATGGAAAATTTCTATATAAAGTGATTACAAATTTCTCGACGAATAATTAATCTGATGAATCACGAGAGAAAATTTGTTTACTTGTAAATTAAAATCAATCAAAAAAATATTTTAATAAAATGTATGACGAGGTTAATAATCTCAAAAATTATTCTCTCCTTGATAATGAATAATTTTAAATAAAATGTTGAGTTTATTTTCAATCGATAAGTGAATGTAGTTGAACATCACAAGATATTTGATACTTCATGACATCCAACTGTTTGACAACATTCATAGGGATTCGTCAGTCAGAGTCGAATGAGAATTATCACAAATTTATTCTTAGAAAGCAGCTTATGAACTCTCATCCACATACTTCCTGCTTCGTTCACAGTATACATTTTCTCTCCGCGCCAAAATTCCAATCCCATGCTGAGTGCTCTCTTACAACCATACACAATTCTCAGTACCTTCCGATATTTCGATCCGTAAACATCGTAAATAATTTATTAGTTTTAAATGTTTGAAATCTTATAAAAAATGTTTAGAAAAAATGAAAACGGCAGACATTATGATTATGAGAGTCTTGACAGTGATAACAGCAAAAAGTTGACAATTTTTTTCGCTACTTTGTGTGTCATTGATTTATTTGGAGTATTTCCAATCGTGACATTACCGAAAGCTTTGATAAGCTGCGGTTATTACGCTCTACCGCTGATTTTGCTTGTTTTTTCACTTCAAACATACACGGCAGTGGTGTTGGGAAGGTGTTGGATGATTGCAGAAAAACTTGATCCATCTATCATGAACAAAAGTCGTTATGCTTATGCAGCTATTGGTGAAATGACTTTCGGTCAACCCATGAAACATTTTGTCACAATTCTATTGGATTTAACAGTTTTCGGTGCAGGAATTCCTAATCTTCTGGTAGCTTCACAGAATCTGCAATTGTTGGGTCTGAGAATTACAAATGGTTCATTTGACTTTTCATTTTGCTATTTTCTTATCATTATTGGATTGTTTTTATGTCCTATAATGTGGCTTGGGTCACCGAAAAATATGAGGTATCTTCATAATTACATACAACAACTTTGTTTTTAAATTCTTTATCTCTCATGTCAATTATAATATGAATGACCTCACATTACAGAATTTTAGCATCAATATCAGTGACAATTTGTACTACGGTTGCAATTCTCACATGGATTTGTATTTTCAAAGAATCAGAAGAGAAAGCCGTCACGCCGATAGAAGTCTTCGATCCGAGTAATCCACCTTTGTTAAATTTACTTAAAGCTTATGGAATTATTTCATTTCAATTCGATATTCATCCAATGTTGTTGACGATTCAAGTTGATATGCAAGATAAAAATAAAATTGGAAAAGCAGTGTTTAGTGGTTTAATGACAACGTGCACTCTTTCAATCATCACAACACTTTTAGTTCATTGGACTTATGGTCAAGAGATCACAGCAAATGTTCTTGAATCACTTCCTAGAAGTTGGACTCTCTATTTAATTATCATGTTAGTGACTTTACAACTCTGTTTATCAAGTGCTGTTGGAAATAGCGCATTATTTCAACATGTTGAAGATGCGATGAATATTTCGAGTCGTAAGATTTTATTAATTAGAAATGAAAATAATTTTTACCTACATAGATTTTTATAGATTTTAACTTTAAAAGATGTATCATAAGATCCATTTTTGTTTGGTTGGCTGTTTTACTTGGAGAGTTGATTCCAAAGTTTGATTTGGTGATGGGTGAGAAAACTTTCCGTTTGATTAGGGTAAATTATAATACTTCTTTTTTCTCCTAGGTGTTATTGGCGGAACATTGACAGGTCCATTGGTTTTCATCCTACCTCCACTTTTTTACACTAAAATGTTGAAATTAGAAAAACGCTTTGACAAAAGAATGTTCGAATCATCACCACTGGCCGATTTCAATGACACTGAATCTCTCTTGAAGTCATCACTATATGGGACAATAAATTCACCAGTACGTCGGATTAAAGGCTATAACCCTAAAGCTGCAATCAAGAAAGCATATTATTTCTTACACAGTGAATGTGTTTTGTCTTCCCTGGTCATTAGTTTTGGTGTGGCAGCAACATTAACGTCAACATTTTATAATTTTCTTGACATAAAAAGTCTAGATGAGTTCTGGTCGCCTTGTATTCAAAATATAAGCTTAAGTTATGAGTTAATACCAAGATAAATTATGTATTCATTTTAGCCATGAAGAATTTTATAAATAAATCTATCCACATAAATTCTTATAAGATTTTACATATATGCAATTTTATTTAATTTTAACGGTTTTTAAAATTTCAAATTGTTTTCCCATCTGAGAATTTGTGTCACTTTTCAATTTTTCCACGAATTCAAAATATTGTCAATAATTTCTTGTAATTAAGTTCTAATAATTAATCAAGCTTCAAAAATGTTTTCACAATATATGGAAGAGTTAGAAAAAAGTCCATTTGTTGTGGAGGACTTCGTTGAAAAGCTGTTTTGGAGGACTAACAGTGTTAATTCTGATAATTTTGTAAGTTTCATTTTATCAACATAAATAACAACAACAATCACCTCAAATATAATTTTATAAATCTTTCCCAGGATCCACAACTTTTAGCTGAAACCTTCACTCAAACAATAAAGGATCTCCGTATTCTACAAGAACGTCAACAAAGAAAATGTGAGAAATTAGAAGTAGCGTTAAGTGACGAGCAGAAAGTTCACGCAAAAAACATTGACAAGTTGCTGGAACGTCATTCTATATCAGTGGAATGTTTTCATCAGTTAGATGAGAAAATCAATTCTGTTGCTGGTAAAATCATTCATCTTGGAGAACAACTGGAAAATGTGAACACACCACGAACTCGAACCGCAGAAGCTTTAAAGCTTCTCAACTTTATGGGAGAATTTTTAGTTCCTGGGCCAGTTGTCAATGACATCTTCACGAATAAACAAAATGTGAGATTAATTGAATATCATTTAGGTCTATAATGTATTAATTCTTTTCGTTTATCAGCTTCTTGAAGCCGCCGATATTATTCAGAAACTTTATCTTGTTGCTCAAGATCTTCCAGCTGAAAAATTTGGACCAACAAAGAAGAAAATTGAATCAAAGTACGATGAAATTGAGAGAAATCTTATTGAAGAATTTGCTGTAGCACAAAAAGAAGACGACATTGAGAAAATGAAGGAACTTGCAAGCATAATGTCGCAGTTTAAAGGATATTCTCAATGTATTGATGTTTATATCGAACAAAGTCAAGCTGTAAGTAATTTCCTTTAAACTGTTGAGTATCTTGTGAATTTATGTTATTTACAGACAAGCTACATTCGAGGTAAAGATGTTTTCGAGACTGTCGTTCCACTTTGTCGTCAACATTATGGAATAATTAAGCAAGTGTTCTCAAGTCCCGATCAAGTTATATCAAAGTTTATTCTCAACATTTATCAATTGAGAATTCATCAATTTGTGAGCACAAAATTAACTGATGATAGCAAAGACGATGCTAAATACCTCAAAACATTGCATTATTTATATTTGAGAACAATGAAGTTGTCGAACGATCTCAGTGAATTCATCAAAGATTCCAACGACGATTTGCTTTCTAAATTAACACAAAACATGTTTTCGAAACATTTAGCAACGTACATTGACACTGAACTTCGTTTTTTTGATAAAACTTGTTCAATGGAAGTTAGAAAATTCTACGACAGTAAAAATCATCAAAAGAAGCAAACGGAAAGATTTCAAGATCTTAAACGAGACATGCAAGCGATCATCAGTGCAAGGACCAACATAAATATCGTTCAAATCGATAATTATGGTGGCGAAACATTTTTATCTGAAGAACTTGCAATAAATTTACTTCAAGAATCGACAGCTGCTTTTGATCGTTGTTCAGTTGTAAGTTTGTCTTTCAGTTTTTAAAAATAATTTTTAATGAAGAATTCAAATTCCCTGCAGTTGTCTAAAGAAGCGGAAACACCGACAAATATTATTAAGCTGGCAGATATTCTCCTGAAACATTTAATCACAGAACATTGCGACTATGCAGTCGATCTTGGCATTCAATCAATTCCAATTGCTGACACCAAATCTGCACCTCAAATTTATTTCTTTGATGTTGTTCAGAAGACCAACACAATCATTCATCTCATGGAGAAAACTTACAACGCCAGTATTTTGCCTTATGTTATTTCAACATCAAAATATGTTGATTGCATGCACAAGAAGAGATTCTGCTTGGAATCAATTGAGAATAAATTAGATAATGGCTTGGATCGCTCATTGAACTCGATTTGTAATTGGATGAAAATTTATCTGCAAAGTGAACAGAAGAAAACTGATTTCAAACCGGAATCGGATATTGATACTGTCGCTTCATCAGCATGTTCAGCTGTTTGTCAACACATAAATTCATGCATTGCAAAGATTAAGAAAACCATTGACGGTGAGAATCTTGTTGAAGTTCTTCAAGAGTTAGGCGTGAGATTTCATCGCGTTATTTATGAACATTTGCTTCAATATCAATACAACACTTTGTAAGTTTAATTTAGTCTTTTCCTTTCGTATCTCATTTCTTAATGTTTACAGAGGTGCAATGGTCGCAATTTGTGATGTCAACGAATATCGAAAATGCGTAAGAAAACTTGGTGACTCTTTAGTCTCTCAACTGTTTGACATTCTTCATGCGTTGTGCAATTTATTGTTAGTTAAACATGAAAATCTGCAAGAGGTTTGTAGTGGCGAAACTTTAAATTATTTAGACAAGTCTGTTGTTATGAATTTTATTCAATTGAGAAGCGATTATAAAACTATTAAGCAAGTAACAGCTTCACTCAAAACTTACAATTAATCAATTGAATATCTCAAATCATCTTTTTATGTTCAATTTTCAAGCTTAGATTGAATCCAATCGACCTGTATGAAATTATTTAGAAAATATGTTAAATAAAATAATTTTGTAACAATTTTTAAATTTTTTCTTACATATTTCGACACTCTGTAAAGTCAAACAAAAGAAATTAGGAAAGATTCAATAATGGAAAATTAAATTCAAACCTTGTGTAGACTCCGGGAACGTCTTCAGTTCCACAATTCTTGGGCCCATATGAAACAATGCCAGCTAGGAAATAATAAGGAATGGGACCAGACTCGTAATGTTCCATCAAAGGACCACCTAGACAGTTTTCCCAATCGCTTAATTATTGTGTTTATAAAAGATTAAAAATTTCTCACCTGAATCTCCGTTACTTGAAAAAGGAAGAGAAAAAATTAGTTAAAATTCATTCTTAAAAGAAAAATTCTTTAATTATCATACTTACCAAGAATCCTTTCCTATTATTTATTAAAAATTAAATAAAATTATCAAATGATTAAATAAGAAATTCAAAAATTTTCACCTGGAGCTCCACCAGCACAGATCTAAAACGACATTTTTCAATTATGATTGAAATTCTAAAATTTTCTGATTAAATTTTACCTGACTATCCAAAATTGTGAGTCCGGAACGTGAATAGACTTCTTGGCATTTCGAATTTGGATATGCAGCAACAGCAACCTTTAATTTTCTGTCACTTGTGTAAGATGTTTCAGTTTTTCCTGAGATAAAAAGAGAAAGAAATTTCAAAATTCATTTCAAGAAATTCTAGAAATCTTTACAAACCCCATCCAGCAACATCAAGAGATTTTCCATCCAAATTCAAATTCCTTACATCAGAATTAACTTGCAAGCAAATTGGTTTGATAAAGTCAGTATAAGTGACAGTTCGTGACAATCGAAGCAAAGCAATGTCATGATGCTGATTCTTCGAGTTTGCTACATAACTTTCATGAATAATTTTCTTTTCAACGGGAACATCAACATGTGGATCATTACAAACTCTTTCGTTAAAGAAAGAATCGTCACAATCTTCAACTGTTGTTGTGTCCCATTCGCCAAGTCGAACACTAACAAGATCCCAATCAGAAGGAACTTTTCCAATGCAATGTGCAGCAGTTACAACGTATTTTTGATTGATTAAACTTCCGCCACAATGGAAACCCGTTCGTCCACGAGCTAAAGGGAAATAACAAATATTTTTCTGTTTCCGAATGACTCGATGAAATTTTCTTACGTTTATTGTATTGTAATTGTGCCAACCACGGGTATTCATCGATGGTTGTTTCTTCTCCACCATAAATGCGATTATCAGCGTCAACTCCACATTCTGGTGCTTCTGGAAGTCTACTTGCTGTTGATGGTACAGTGCTTCTGACGGTTGTGACTGGTGCAGCAGTCGTTTGTTCAGTCACAGATGGACAGCAAACCCATGGTTCGAAATAATATTTACATTGACTTCTTCTCAGAAAAATACGAACGTCGTATGGAATTTGTCTCCCTCGGTATTGCATCAAAATATTCAATAAGCTGTCGCAACTTCTTATCGGCTGACAAAATCCGGTTACTCCGGTCGGGTTCACACAAGATTCATAATATTCTAAACATGTATTCGTTAACTTATTGTTATGAGGTATTTAACGAGTTCATCAACTTTACACTTACGTGAATTTACAACATTAATGACGAGTAGAAAAGCAACTACCGCGATTAATTTCATTTTAAACAAGAATAATCGTTATTTAAACTTTATCAACCAGATAAGACAAAATTTATTAGAAAATTATTTTATTTTTTTCAAATTGATGTGTTGAATGTTCGGGAGCGACTGAGAAGTTTTTTAGAAGAACTTGGGATTATAATCTGTTTTCATTTAAATACCTACAGTTCTATAAAATAAGAGATTCTCTCTTGTTGTTGCCTTNTGGACAGTCGGAAGGTACATGGACAGTCGGAAGGTCCATGGACAGTCGGAAGATCCATGGACAGTCGGAAGGTCCATGGACAGTCGGAAGGTCCATGGACAGTCGGAAGGTCCATGGACAGTCGAAAGGTCCATGGACAGTCGGAAGGTCCATGGACAGTCGGAAGGTCCATGGACAGTCGGAAGGTCCATGGACAGTCGGAAGGTCCATGGATAGTCGGAAGGTCCATGGATAGTCGGAAGGGCCATGGATAGTCGGAAGGTCCATGGATAGTCGGAAGGTCCATGGATAGTCGGAAGGTCCATGGATAGTCGGAAGGTCCATGGGCAGTCGGAAACTCCACACCGGCCGGAGTAACTTAAAATTATGCGTTAGCATAATTTGAAGCTCCCCATGTGGAGCTTCCCCATCTCCAATTTCTTACATATTTCGACACTCTGTAAAGTCAAACAAAAGAAATTAGGAAAGATTCAATAATGGAAAATTAAATTCAAACCTTGTGTAGACTCCGGGAACGTCTTCAGTTCCACAATTAAGACCTTTTACTACACAAAGCAAGATTACATTACCGTTACAAGAAAATTTGAGCAAACTAGAGAATAACGAAATTACGGTTTCTTCTTTCCTTCACATTTTAAGTGATGTTAACACACAAAAAAAATCATAAATGATGAAGTGAAACCATTTACGCTTTGCTGGGCTGAAGCCCAGAAAAAATTTTAAGTAATTTTAAAACACAAACAAAATCCAGCGACATAATTTTATCAATTCATCATTAAAAAATCAACATACGTATTAATAATTTTCTCAAATAATTACAAAATTAACAAATAAAAATAAAATTTCAATTTGGTATTTAATTATGGAATATTTACTTTATTTCTGTATTCAATTTTGTGTGAATTTAATTAATATTACTATCATTATCATTTTTAAAAATCATCATCATCATCATCAAGTCATTGATAAATTCCTATTACATAAATTGTTATTACATTGAAACATTGAGGGGAAAAGAAAATAATAAAACTGAAATAAAGAAATAGAAATTCAATTTATTTGCAAGTTTCTATACTCCACCTCATTTGCAATCAATTCGCAAGTTCTATGCAAGTCTTTTTGTTTTATATCAATTGCAATTAATTTGCACGTCTTCTGCGTTATATTAATTCGCTAGTTCTTTGCAATCTTTTAATTGCAATTGATTTGCAAGTTTTTTGCTTTGTTCTTTCTGCAATTAATTCGAAAGTTCTATTTAATAGTTTTAATTGTACTAATTGTAAATATAATTGAAATTAAATGCTTAATTAAAATATAATTTTAATATATAAAAATTTTATTTTAA